TGTTTTTGAAAGCTTTTACTTTTGGTTTAGCATAATCCATGCAATTGAAGTCATGTCCCTATAACAATTGCAACTGGATTTCTGGTTACTTGTTTAACCATTGTCTATGTGCATATTTGTTGGTAAAAATGTTTGAGTAGTATCTTTAAAGTATATTGCCTAGTGCAAATCCTGTCAAAAATATTTGCTCAGAAGGTCCTGGGTTGAATCCAAGAAGGACATTGCAGTTGTGCAATAGAATGTTCTCTCCCCTTCCTTCCTGTGTGTCCCCTGCACTCACCCAAATCTACTCTAGAGAGTTGGGAGAACCCCGGCCTAGAGCATATTGGGGAAGGAGCGGGAGTAGACTTGCCATTGCGCAAGCAGAAGCCATTCCTCGTGCACAGTTACAGTACTTCGTTGACTACAACAAGTATCCCCATTTAATTTTATCCATATAGGCCCTGGTCTTACCCACACAGATTTATTTTTATAAAAATCATATGGGTGCAAGCCTCCCTTCTTCTTTACCAGTGTGACAGTAGAACCCGTGTAAACTTGGGAGCCTTTGTCAGCAGCCATAGCCCTAATGCTAAATCCTCCCCATTTCTGGTGGTGGATTTTGCAAGTTCTTCTTCGACCAACCACAAAATCTTCAGCTCTCAATGGGGAAGCACCAGCAGTAAATCTATCTATGGCCACAGATTCCTTTGTTTGCATTGGATTTGCTAGGACTTGGCTCTTTGTGCTTGTATGTGGTAGCAAGAGAGGAGGTATATGTGGTAATACAGGACTTTTGTGTACTGCGTCCATAACAAAAATGGAGCCCACAAAGTTTTGACGTCAATAGCAAATCCCCACAATGGCATTTCCAGATGTTATGCCATGCTCTGTATGATTTTAGTGTTTACTAGTTCATGCAAGAAGAGTTTAATGAAATTGCAATATCAGTTTACTACAAAAAGAGTGGTAATTGTTTTAAATGCCTTGGAAATGTGCAAGGATGGTTACAATTTCCATTCATTTGTGAATCCTAGATGAAATAAGTTTCATATGTCTAAAGTTAGATTTACATGTAAAATGCATTGCAATTGCTGTGATTTCAGAGCTATTTTAGGGCAAAGAATATTTTTAACGAAGTTGCTTGTTTTGTGTTGAACGTATTGCAATTTTTTTGCATGAATTGTCTAATAACATCTCAAAGACTTTTGCTCCATTTTAATATTTTTCCTTTATCCATGCTCTCTTTAAGATACAAATGTATGGGGTTAAGGTGTTGAACTGTAAATATTCTGATTCATTGGGGTTTCTCCCCCATCATCCGAATACTTGAATCAAATAGGTTACTTAAAATGTAGAATTCCATGCTTCTTACAAAACTGATTTTTTTTGTTTTGTTTTTGACTGTGAAAACAAAACAGTCCAGGTGATATTCAGAATCTTGTGAAATGTTGAATTTCTGGGAAGATATGATTTGCAGCCTAGAACATAAATAAATTAGTGCAAATGGGCTGCACAGGCACTTAAGCGAAGTCCCCTCACCCCCCAGCTTCCTATTAATACCAGTTGCTGCCTTCTAGCTTAGATGGTTTTGAGAGATTTGGGTGGGATGGGGCTGAGTATTCCTAGAGTTCTATGCTGTAGCAAATCACTCAAATTTGCCCTCTAGCACAATCTGCTTCCTGGGTACAGAACAGAAAGAAAGAATGTTAAATAAAAGAGAGAACATATTTAATTTCTTCATGTAATTTTAAAAATAAATATTGAAACTTGTTCATAGAATCGGAAAGCTTTGATATCTAATTATCCCTAATACATCAGATTAACAATGTCATATGTGATTGAAGTTGAAGGGGAGAATAAGATGGACTATGCTATTTAAGTAATATATCAATTTGAGTGATGATGCAATTGTTCCAACACAACATAGTGGTTCAGATGTAATTCCAAACCATGGCCTGGTGGTTGTGAACAAGGAGTTAAGGCCTTGGAGTTATTCAGCCTTGTATACATCTATTCCCTGCCTAGTGTGACCCTCGTTTCCAATCCTGATTTGCAGGGCACTGTCAAACCTAGGACAAAATGGCAAATTACATACATTTTGCTTCAAAACACGACTGGAGGCAGGGAATCAGTGCTTGGCTCAAAATTTTGCAGTAGTGTATTCACAAATTTAGAAGGAAAACACTAAGCATTGTGTTTCCAAACTAATCAAAAGCAAAAGCTTCCTTTCCTTTTTCTTATCTTGTGAGTATTAAGAGCAAAAGGCAGGGAGTTGATGAAGGTTTTGATTTATAGGCACATTATAACATACAGGATATTAACTAGTATCTCACACCACAAAAAATACCTTATTTGCATCCCACAAGGTTAGGCCCCCTTATGATCTTTTGGCTGGTGGCACTTCTGTTTCCTGATTTTGTTTTGTCTTTTTGAACAGGAAGTCTGTACAATTAAAGGTAAAGTTACCCCTGCCCGTATGGGCCAGTCTTGACAGACTCTAGGGCTGTGCGCTCATCTCACTCTATAGGCCGGGAGCCAGCGCTGTCCGCAGACACTTCCGGGTCACGTGGCCAGCGTGACAAGCTGCATCTGGCGAGCCAGCGCAGCACACGGAACACCGTTTACCTTCCCGCTGGTAAGCGGTCCCTATTTATCTACTTGCACCCGGGGGTGCTTTCGAACTGCTAGGTTGGCAGGCGCTGGGACCGAACGACAGGAGCGCACCCTGCCGCGGGGATTCGAACCGCCGACCATGCGATCAGCAAGTCCTAGGCGCTGAGGTTTTACCCACAGCGCCACCCGCGTCCCACAATTAAAGAATGCTAAAAACACTGTGATCTGAGAAATAATAGCTCCTTCAGCCCAAGTAAATTATGTAAAGAAGGATTCCCAGGGTTGGTTGTGGTGTGAGCACTTAGCACATTGTTTTAAAGTCTTATGTTTTGCATGTGGTTGCATATAAATAAACAATTTATTTTTAATTATTGCTGTGATCATTTTTAATGGAAAGGTGGAGTATAAATATGTTAACTAGTGAATAAATGTACATGAAACATGTAACCAGAGTACAAGAGGCACATGTTTTACATGCTGCTGTGACATATATGGACCTTCTTGGAAGAAGCATCCCCTCCTATTTGAGAAATGAAGGTAGAATCCCTTTGTTAATATGGTGCCTATCACCTGCAGCTTGTGGAACTTACATTAAAAATTAAAATGCCTGACCAACTGGACAATGGAAATGGTTTTTTAATTATTATTATTTAATGGATTACAAGTTTCAGATCCAGTTTCTAAGTTGATTTTAGCCTCATCACTTGCTTTTTAGAGTGTGTTCATGGAACGCAACACTGAGCCTACCACAGCAAACCAATGATAATACCAAAGCTGCTTTTCACATTTTCACATAATAGCATTGAATGAAATAGTCAAGAGCCTCAGATTGACCAAGGGTTATTCATGCACTTATTCCTGTAAACAGATCAGTGCTTGATGCAAGTTATGTGCAGAGCTATGTGTATTTAAAATCTTAAATCTGCCAGGGTAGTGGCATTTTCTTGCGTTAAGAAAAACTGAATGTTATTACTTATATATATTGTGTATAATTTGTACAATGACCTAGTTTGCACATAATACTAAGACAAACATTGGCTTTGTACAAACCATGGCATAGCTCCTCCCCCTGCTGCACTACCCAGGGCTAAGCCATGGATTGGCTTATGGATTGGTTTGCTGGTGGTTGCTCGCGAGTAAACAGCCAGGACTTCGACCTGTCTTTTACAGGTTTTATTTAGTGCAAACTATGTACAGTGCAGAAACCCAAAGTTCATGTCTGTCTCAGTCACTTGCAGATTCCGGGAGTGGCCCCTTCCGGTTTCTCCCCCAACGTAAGAACTTAGGCACCCCAAATCTCCACCTCCCCTCCTTCCGTTTCATCTCTCTGCGAAAACTGGGCGACGGAAGCGGCATGCTTGTTTCCTGACCAGCCTGGCTAAGCGAAGCGCTTGGGCTCACAGTAGCATCTGTGAGCCTTTCCCTCACCTCGCCCCTCCTTTCCTCCTCTGCTTCACTGGAGGCGTGGCTCTCTCCACTGCCTGACGAAGAGCTACTTCTGAGCAACATCAGAGGCTCCCTGTATTCTTGTGCCCCCCCCTTTCGATGGCAGTTCCCTGACAGCTTAGCTTAGCATGTCCAAACCCAGGCACATGGCTTGTCAGATAAACTTTTACAGCTCATATCTGGAGGAGCCAACCCATGGGTTTTATGGTGCATTGCCAGCCTGAGGACTCGAAAATTAACTGGAGACTAGAAAATTTCCTTTTGAGATTACATCAGGCATTGGCCATGCACTTTCAGGCTACTCTTGGTTGCTGCAAATGTAAATTAGGACTACGTATTTGAGGATTATAAATTCATTGCCTGCCTAGAGTTGTAAAATCTTGCAAAAACAACCTGGTCATGAGCCAGGATAGTAATGGATGTATGGTAAACAGGACATATAACTCCACAGAAGCTTGGTGAGGGACCTTATCAAAACTTTAAAAATATCATTCTTCCCATATTTAATAGATTGGGAGATGCTACCTTCTCTGGCTAAGCCAACATGTAGACAGAGGGAGAGATTTAATTCAGGTTTAAGTCGCAGGCTTGATGTGCACAGATGTAGGTTGCTCAATTCTTCTCAGAGGAAAGTATGCTGAATGTGTCTTTGTCAGCTTAATTCCTGCTTAGACACATTGGGCAAGCATCTTTACTCACTCTCTATTATTCTCCCCTCACTAGTGCTCTTTTTCTTAAAAAAATGCTTAGGAGTACTCTCATTTTCCTACTCATATTGAAATACTGCCCCTTAATGAGGCCAAACTTAGATTCACAATATGTTTAGGGGTGTACATACCCCTGCGTACCCCGCAGATAAAAACACTGCCCCGCACCTCCTAGTGACTTGTTTTTTCACTTGTTGCCTTTACTTATTTGGATAACTCTTTTCCATAGTTACAATTCATCTCTTTTTCAATGAAGTTTGCAGATTCTCATCTGCTCCCTATGTTTGCCTTATTAGAAAATATTTAAAGGAGAAAACACTACATTTTGACAACAAACTTAATTATTTAGTGTGTCACTGAAATATATCTGATGTGAACAAATAGGATAAATGGGGCCAGTGTAGCCTCAACATATAATTCCCTGTGGTTCCAGAAATGAAAACTAAACTGGCCTGATTCTTTTTATATGCACATGCATATGTGGTCAAGTGTGTAGGTGTAGGAAGGGAGATGTGAAAAGCAGAGCTTCTGCACTGGCATTGAATCTGAACTGTTAAGCAGCTAAGTCACAGCTGCTTAACATATGCCCCCTGGTTGAACTCATTTTATCGCCTGACACTTGATATCAGACTTCTCTCAATGCAAGAAAAGGTTGTTGGAATGGAATACTTTTCATTGCTAGCAATTGGATGACATATAATTGTACAGCTTCAATAATATGGAAAGCTGAGGAAGAAAGTGTGTCTGCATGTGAGTGTGCACAAAGCCACTCAACAAGCTAGCTTAAGGCTCCATGTTTTGTGTTCTTGGAGTTAGTGGTTTTCTGTGTGTCGCTTCTTTATATGCTTGGCCAGTGAGAACTCCATTTGTGCAGAGGTTATGCTACCTTTTTCCATTTTGTACAGCCTTTTAGGGTCAGTAGTGTGATTTGTGAAGACTGGAGCTTGATTACCAATGCAATCTGTTATGTAGGCTAAATCTTTTCATTGCTTGAATAAGAAGATCCCCTAACTCCAACAGAATAGAGTTATATTTCAGGGTTTTAGCTTGTTGTGCTGCTCCGGGGCCACTACTAAAGCTGGTACAGTAGTACCTCGGGTTACAAACGCTTCAGGTTACAGACTCCACTAACCCTGAAATAGTACCTTGGGTTAAGAACTTTGCTTCAGGATAAGAACAGAAATCGTGCGGCGGCAGTGGGAGGCCCCATTAGCTAAAGTGGTACTTCAGGTTAAGAAACGACTTCCAGAACGAATTAAGTTCTTAACCCGATGTGCCACTGTAGTTCCTACCAGCTCACTACTGGCAGAAAGAGAGAGGGTGCATACAGGTTAGCAACTTCACATTGTGACAGGTTGGCATGTGTGTATGGTACTAGTTGTATGACTGGAAAATGGAATATAGTAGTGTTGCTTATCAATGAAACTTTGTTCCAAACTTGAACGTGTCTATCATTATTTCTGTATGGTGCCTAAGAACTATGATGAATGAGCCACTTGCCAGTAGTGTCATAATGGGTTGATTTTTTTTGGTTTGCAGCCGAATCTAAACATGTTTTCTCGCAAATAAATTCCAAGGATTTCAATGTGGAGAACGCTTGAGGCTGTAGGCTTGGATAAATTTATAGCCAAAAAGATGGTCTGACAGAGTGTTTTTTGTTTGTTTGTTCAAAGTATCTGTACTATTTTGGGATTGATATGAGTGAATGCATAGTATCAAGGGATCTGTGCAAATTGTGCTCAACTGAAGGATATTGAATGGCTTACTATCTTCAGACTTATTCTTAAATTAGTCTGGTTGTTCAAATAGATGATTCATAAGCCTTGTGGTTGGCCCTAGAGTGAATTTCATTCTCAGATAAAGCAAAATGTGGATTAGCTAATGTAATTTGACAGTGACTGGAAAATATTCCACTGTTCTTGTGGTGAAGGCAAGAGGCGTATCACCTGAACCTTGAGAGTCTGGTGCCAATGCATACCCCAAGAGGGACTTTGTGCAGCCAGAAAACATTGAGTTTTTGGCAGTATGTCAAGATGGATGACTAGACAAAATAAGTTTAGCCTTCAGCGACAGGCAAAAGGCAAACAAAAAGCTAGTAGAAGAAAGGTACATTCAAAGTTTTGCCATTGTACACTTGCTGCATTCATTTTTCATTATACTAGACTTTCATTTTACCAGCTACCTTTTGAATCACCATTTAAAAAATGTATTGTTTTGTTCTTATGAGCCAAACTACCATATTTATGAACATTTCTTTTGAACCAGGTATAATATGCTTGAGGCTCGTGCAGATCGCAGGATAAATAATAAGTGGACCCATCAGAGGGTTGCCAAAGTGGCCAGGGTAGGGAGGGCAGGAGCAATACAGCTGTTTTTCTTTTTACTTCTGGTCAGTTGCTTTTTCAAGTAAAAGCAGCATCATTTTCACAATTCCCAGGCTTAAAATGTGTATCTAATGTATGTGCCATGTTGTTGAGCTCAGTCCAAGCTCAGCACCAGCTCAGCATTTAACATACCCCTGCCTGTGAGCCTGTAAAGTACATGTATCTGTTTATTCCATAGCTCTCTTTCCACTTCCCCCAAATAAGATTTTTAAGCTGAGGCAGATAGGGTGGGTGGTGGCAGAGCAACTTGGCAAGTTCTCAGTGGCAGCTGGGGAGTCGGGATTGTTCTTACACCTGCTTCCCTATGCAGCTTTTTCACCCCACCCTAGAATGCAGACATGGGCTCAGTCCACTGTATTTGGCAGGAGCAAATGGAAAGCTTTTACTACTAGCTCTACTCTCTCTGGCATCCAAGAGACTCCACCTTCTGACCTTCCCCTGGCTCCATAATTTTTGAAATCAAAAGTTGGTACCCTATCCACCATTCTTAACTACAGATAAGAATTATGTTGGTACGGTGTGTACTGGGTTAAGACTCATCAAGGTTCTCTCGATTAGATAGGAGTCCTGTGGGTATCATGGTCAGCTTTAACTGTGATTATATTTGGCACCAGATTAATTGCAGCTTTTCTGCTCATAAAGTATTCCTGAATTGTTTGTCCCTTCTCCCACCCCCCTGAAACATAAAAAATGTTGTTTGCTGAATCAGAATATGCTGATATTCTGGTCCATCTAACTCACTGTTGGCTGCACTGACTGACAACAGCTCTTTGGGATTTCTGACAAGTTCCAGCCCTACCTGGAGATGATGGGACCTGGGAAATCTGAATACAAAGCCTGTCTGTCCCCTCAAAATAAAACATCAGCTATGGACTCTCAAAGGTTCTACTATCCATGGTGGTTTGCTGTTGAATCCCCTTACTATAGATTCTGCCCATCCACTACCTTTTGCCTTTGTTGTGGGCGATGGGAGGAGCAGATGGCATCTGTAAGTGGCCCATACTTGGCCAAGGAGTTGTCAATTTCTGATCTGTTGCAAGTCAGTTTCTCTATAGACCATGTATGACATGGAGTTTAATATACAAGAAAATTTGCAATATCCATATGGTGTAGTCAGTTTCACGAGTCTTGCCATATTTTCTTAGACTCAATCAGATATTTGTTTTTAATCAAGTCAGTTTACTTATTAGTACAAAAACCTTACAAGTTAATCCCTTATCAATGCGAAAAAACCTGAGGTGAAGTAAACATTCAGAGGATGAAGGGGAAATTCACTGTGTCCCTGCAGACAACCAGTTTTACAGTTTTTGAAGTAACAAATGGTTCTGGATTTTGTATATCTGATCATAAAGAAATTGGGAGGAAAGTTGATATAAAAGCCTGATTTTACTCAGTTTTCATACCATTTCCTTTAAAAACAATGCTCTTTCTTTTACATTAGCTTTTGGATATTTTCCTCTCTCTATTTTTGCCATGGATTTGTGTAGTTCTGATTTCTAGTCTGCTCACATATGGGAAGTTCTTTTAATGGTGGGAGCCGTACAGACACCAGAATTCCAGGTCCAAATTAGAGGCCTTTATATAAAATTCATTTATAAATCATCAGTGATGTAAAACAGTATTTCCCCCCACTTACATACTCTCTGACTGTTCTGTTTTCTGGGATAATAAATCACTCTCTCTATTTTTGTGTTCTTGATACGTCTTTTTAATAGTGTGAGATTCTAGAGTTGTCATCATTCTGGCCTTAGTTCCCTCTCTGGGGTGGCTAGAACTGAAATCTCTTGCATGGATGACACCATGTAGTGCTCAGCCTATCATTTCACAGACTGCAGCTGCTGAGGTGTATTTTGAACTACTGATAACATCATGTAGGGCAATAATGTTTTTCTAGCATATCTTTAGCAAAAGAACAAGGACCTTAGCTTTTAAAATGAATGGCAGTTAGGCTGTTTAAAATAATAAATGAGGCAGAGTAGAACCTTCAGAAATGTGTAACAGTGGAAAGGGGGGGGTCTTAGCTAATGATCCTTACTATGGAAATAGGAGTGTTGGAAGCATGTCCCTATTTTCATATGGGAATTGTTGGAGGATATGCACTTGCTTTCTTTGTTTTCAGCCTAAGATACTATTGACTTGTATCAAGTGTTTTCCCTTCTCTCTGCAACCATTATGGGGAGCAAGATAAAGTTTTCATGATTTCAAGTTTCTCATCATATTAAAATCATGAGTGTTGGCAGTCTCCTATACATTCCTTAGCAACAGTTTCTTTCTCTCTCTCTCTCTCTCTCTCTCTCTCTCTCTCACACACACACACACACACACACTTACACACACACTTTTTAACTTCTCCACATGAAAATAAAATTATTCAGTTGCATTCTGTCATAATTGTTTAGGGAACAACAGATACTTTAATATCTCTAGTTTTAAGAAGCATGCAGACTGCTTACATGCTCCATGTAGCTCTCTATAAAACCGATCAAGTGGATACATACTTCATTTGAAAATCATTACAGAAACCTTCAGAAATGCAGCTTTCTTTCTTTCAGTCTATGGGCTCCCCGATCTTTCACAATGAAAACAACAAATCAGATTCTCAAACGCATGGAACACAAAGTCCTTGGGGGAGCGGGTAGAGTTACGTAATGGCCGGACTCTGGTCAATAAATCAGATTACACAAAAACACAATGACAAGAATAAAAAAGGAAATTCCACAGTCTTTGTGCGTATTTGGCCATTCTTTGTGATGATTGGTGTCCTGGCAGAATTTTCAAAATGTCTCATTTCAGATTGCTAAAATACGTTGCATTCAAATATCCTTTAAAGAGTTAACAGGAAGGCACATTGAAAACATTTTTAAGTCACCATGAAGATAAGTGTCTTTTTAATTTCAGATTTTCAACCAGAAGGCTAAAAACTGCTCAGAGACTTACCTGAGATTGATCCTGAACTCTTAACTGAACATGAATTCTCAGGTTTTTCTGCTTTAATATGGAATCAACCCCCTTCAAGGCTGTCTCTTCAGCAGCTTCAGAATTCGCCACAACAGCAGCTGACATGCTATCCAGACAGAGAGCTTTCTTCTGAACAAAATTCCATGTTTTACTTCCTCTTTCATTTCTTCACACGTTTTTCTGTTACAGGCTTCATCCTCTCTGCCCCCCACCCCCACCCCAAGTCGTAAGATCAGGCACTTGTCCGGAGGTGTCCTTCTCAGCAGGTTTCACGTTCAAAACAATCCTTTCATTGCTGCCCACGCTGTAAAAGAGAATGGAGGGGGTGAGTTGGAAGGAAGCTTAAAGCGGCTGTCCACTCGCCAGGCCCCTGGACCAAAAATAATTTTTAAAAAACCTTTAGAGTCCTGCAAGGAGTAGCATATAGTTTTTCAAAGTTTAACTTCTGAAGGAAGGGGGGAAAGTGGAAAGCAAACTGAGTCCTGGAGTGTAGATTTGGTTCTCCCCCCACTTGGGCCCCTTGCCGACTGTTTTTATTGATTTCAATCACTGGAGGCTAGCTTAGCTCTCTGAAGAAACACTGTGTAATGTGTTCTTTCCTGGCTTTCATTAAAGAAACTCAATGCAGCTCCGTCACGCTGCCGAGCTCACTTGGCAACCTGCCTACACTCTGTGGTACTTCTTCTCCTTTCATTGGCGGAGACTGCGTTCTTGTTTCCTTCTCCAGCGAAGGACCTCAAAAACATCATATTCTCTCTGCCACTTCTTCTCCGCCCCCCCCCCCCCCGCCCAATACTCCAATCCTTCTGAGCCTTGGCTGGTTTACCCACAGCCTAAAAAAAGAAATGATTTTGCTGGAGCTAACATGGCTGCAGAACTTGCACCAGTTTAAAAAAAACACACATATTCAGTGTTTTTCGGGTCTCTTTCACATTTGGAAGTTAGTGCCCAGATTTTTGAGCAGCGTCAGAAAAGCCTGGATGTAGCTGCATAAATTAGGGGGCTGGGTGGGGAGCAATTTTAAAAGCTTCCCCCCCCTTCTGTACTACAGTGCTTTGGCATTTATCTAGCAATGCTGGGGAGCAACGAGCTGACTTAGAAGCAGCCAGTTGCCTATCTGGGCTTTGAGTGGGAGCACAGAGTGGCCTCTATACCAGGCTTAGAAATTCAGGATCAGCCAATGCATCTGGGAAGAATAAAGCTCTACCTTTTCTTTTCCCTTATTCAGAAGCACTATGCTCCTGAAGTTGCTGGCGTGGGGTGAAAAGAGTGGGGAGGGGTTGGGGCTCTTAAGGACATGTAACATTGGTGTTTTAAAGATGAATGTCTGTTCACATTTTGTTCTGGCTGCTTAAGGAAACACAGGTGTAAAACCTTTGTCTGCAGCAAACACGGGCAATAATAGGTACGGTAAACTTGGGGCACGGGACGCGGGTGGCGCTGTGGGTTAAACCACAGAGCCTAGGACTTGCCGATCAGAAGGTCGGCAGTAACGGGGTGAGCTCCCGTTGTTCGGTCCCACCGCCTGCCACCCTAGCAGTTCAAAAGCACGTCAAAGTGCAAGTAGATAAATAGGTACCACTCCGGCAGGAAGGTAAACGGCGTTTCCGTGCACTGCTCTGGTTCACCAGAAGCGGCTTAGTCATGCTGGCCACATGACCCGGAAGCTGTACGCCGGCTCCCTCAGCCAATAAAGCGAGATGAGCACCGCAACCCCAGAGTCAGCCACGACTGGACCTAATGGTCAGGGGTCCCTTTACCTTTACTTTAAACTTGGGGCACAGGCCATGACAGAGTTTTGCATCTGCAAAAGTTAAGGTGGCTGGAGTCCTCCCAGCACGGTGCTTTGCAGCATGCCCAGCCATCCTGTAAACAAAGTTTTTATAAAATTAAAGGGCGTGGAGAGAGGCATGAGATATAGGTCCCATGGCAAAAGACCCAGGCCCACTAGGCCACTCCCTAAACAATATTCCTGAGAAAACGCATTTGAAGTGTGCAGATGCTCCCACTCTGTATCATGATAAGGTCCAGCTTAGCAAACGAGGCGATGAGAAGCAATATGAGAGATGGGGCATGGTCTGCCAAGCACTCCTGATGGGTAACATATTCCTGTTTCTGTCTAGTTTGCTTGGGGCTCTCCTGCATCCTATTGTAGCAAATGGAGGTGGTTTTATAGTCACAGCTTGGAGAACTTGCATCCCTGTACAGATGTCATGTTTAGGGGTGAAACTGTGGCCTTCAAACACTCCTTCAGAGGAAGCTTTATATTTCTATCATTCCTTGGAAGGATACATATTGCAATTTCTTTAGCAATATTTTATCACTTTTCTGTACCCTGTATATGTTGTCAGTTCCCAATTTGGGTAGCTCCATATACCACTAGTTAGCTTTATTTATTAATTAAAATTCTGGTGTTTATAATTTAGTATAATCTCTGCTTGGCATTTATGAGACTGATTGGTAACTCCTGGCTGTCCCTTCTTTTGTGCTGTTTAAGATCCTGCTGCCTCTGGCAATATGTTTTATTTGATTGATTATGTTTAATTGTATTTTTAACTTTTTGCTGGATGCCACTTTTTAATGAGAAAAAATGTGGCTTATATAAATAAATACACTCACAAATTACTCATATACAGAAGCTTCTTGTTCTCCATACTTAAGCCATTCATTTCAAAAGAGGAGGTGATACTGACATTCTACCCATTTTCCAGACAACATTGGTTGAAAACAAGCAGATGTTTATATTGTGGCCTGAACAATTTTCTCATCTTTTGAATTTCCAGACGAATAATGGTCGCGTTAGTCTTTGGCACCGAAAACAACAAAGAATCCTATTCACCTAGGTGGGCATGAGAAAGTCACTTTCTCAATTTAACCTCCTTCACGGGACCTTTGTGAAGACAAAACTATGCTCAGTTACTAGTATGAAAGGACCGGGGGTGCAATCATTATTATTTTTTCCCTGCATTTCATTTTCTTCTGACCTTTCTATGCGCAACCCCCTCCACCCTGAAACTCTGGACATAGATGTTTGTGTGTATGTATATATCTTAGAATAACACGTGCCATAATCAATTTGTTAGTCTTGAAGGTGCCATACTCTGCTGTTTTCCCTTATTTTTTTATATACACCAGCTATTATGGATGATTATGTGTTGTTCAGAAAAATGTTTAGTTCAGTATGAAGTGGCATCAGGGCTAAATAGAATTTTAATTGAGTACATGCTGGCTGCTTCAGTGTGCATCGTAGGAGTAACAAACACGTGTGTGTGTGTGTGTGTGTGTGTGTGTGTGTGTAGATGTACCATTCTCCTTTTTCTTTCCAATGGTTGAAAGTTTTCCTAGCTCAGAAAGGTACAAAGGCTTTCATTTTAATTTAGCTTCCTGGAGAACGTGTTTGGGGGTTTACTGCTTGAGTTGCATATAAAGCAACCTTTCTAACTCTCTAGCTAATGTAATTTCTTTCCAGTGTTTTTCCTCCTGCCAAGCATTCTGTGAGATATTTTTGAGGAAGGCTATTTAAAGTATTTTGCAAAGGATGACACTTGAAATATTTTCCTTCATTAGTTTGAATATCTTATTCGTTGTTCCTTATTTGTTAATTTATATCTGGCCATTTGGACCTGGGGAGAAAACAGCAAAGACCTGATGAAGAGAGCACAGCAGAGATGATATTTTCTGAGAATCCTCCAGAAAAATAATATCTCAAAGGACCTGTTGATGGCATTTTACCATTGTACTGTTGAGAGTGTATTAACTTATGGTTTGGGAACTGCATGGTCAGGGAAAAAACAACGTTGTCCAGGGTTGTAAAGACTGCAGAGAGAATAATTGTGTGTGCTCTCCCCACCTTGGATCAAATCTATGCTTCCAAGTGCCATAAGAAAGCTGCAAAGATAGTGCAGCATAGTGCGCACCCTGGAAATGATCTCTATCAGCTTCTGCCTTCTGGAATAAGGTACAGGGTTATAAAGACTAGGACTAGCCGCCTGAGAATAAAGATTAATGTTTCGTATTGGACTGTATCTAGGCCTACAAGGCTACTATTAACTCCACCCCCCCCCCAAAAAAAAACATATTCCATACAATTTTTAAAAAATTGTCACGCTCAAGAATAGTTATAAAATCAGTTTTAAAACCACAGTGATGAGTAATAAAATCAAGAACCAGCATATACCTAGGAACCCACAGATCATCCAAAGGCATTCTGAAGCAGAAAGTCTTCACTAAACGTGGAAAAACTGGCAGTGAGCCAACCATCCTAATGAGCTCTCTTGTGAAGGAATCCCAGAGAACCCGGGATGCCACCCAGAAAACCTGCTCCTTGTAGACAGTAGGCTCATTTATGATTAATTGAACCAAGGTGCAGTGTGTAGTGTTCTGGTTTATTATTCTAACCAATCAGCCACATTTTCCTCCAGGCTACTCCATTTCTTTTCCCTCCCACCTGGTTTTGCATCCCCGTCCACCAATAGTCTGTTACCCCACTCTCAGTCCACATTGGAGATTTGGGGGTTAGTTCTCCCATAGGAATCCCCTCCAAGATTTTTTTGTACTTCTCTAAACCTTGGGGTTTCCTGCAAGTCTACAGATACCAGCAGCACGACCCCTGAATCCAGTTCGGCCCTCTGAACTTGCATATGTAAGGACAGGCACTAATCTCTGAACTTAAGAAATATGGAAAATGATTGTTTTTGAACCAACAGTAGATTTTTGAACCAGTGATGTTTAATTTCCCCAACAGTAGATTGATGGGGGGAAAGGAACACGAAGAGAGCCATCCTTTGGGGGGAATGACCATTTTATTGGGAAAGTATTACTATTTGGAGTGTCAATCTGTTTCTGTCTTAGTGAAATATGAGGTCTGAGATATGTTCATCATACTCAAGAGTAGATCATGGAAAGACCACTTAAATCAGTGGATCTGCTCTGAGTATGACTAACATTAAGTATCACCTGAAACTCTTTATGAAGTAACAAAAGTGTAGTAAATATATGGAACATGATGACTTAACATGGTTATAATCAGTAACGTATCAGTGCACCCCCCCCCCCCAGGTCATCTCTAAAAAAAATTGGGATTTTCAGGTATTTCGGTAAAAGACAAAACATTTTTTAGGGGTTTTTGAGTATTTCTGAAGAGCACAAGTGGGTGGAATGTTGCCTCCTATTCCCCAGAAGTCCCACCCAAGGGGTGGTGGTAACAGATGGTGCTGAGGGTTCTCTCTGAAGTGGTGAGCTCACCCCACCATTTGTTTTCTCTTTCCCCCAAAGCACGGCTCTCTCCCCTTTGGTGGGCTTTGCTGTCAGGGGAAAGTTTTATAGCTGCAAGGATGAAGAAGTGGAGATCCCATTTTGAATCAGCATAGCCCAAAGGAGCCTGGTCCTAACTTGAAATGGGGCTATTTGAGGGGTTTGTATTCTGAACTCCACATACACATGGTGTTTTGCACTGTCTCTAGTTTTAATTGTCTTGATTTGATTTGTATGGCGGTGGGGCAGTTCTTTGGCAGAGCCTCGGTTAGTTAATTATCAGTGAGCCTTTCATCATTAATATACCACCTTGAGATCTGCATAATTTGGCAAAACTGTTTGGACTTCCGTTCAGCTGTTCTGTATTTTAGCTGGAGTATTGCATTCCCATCCATTTATGGGACTCAGGAGAAGGAAGGGAATAGCTCAAATGTTTTCTTGACATGTCTTTAATAAGTGGATGGAGACTGCTTATGGACAAATATGAAAAAGGCTTACCAGGTGAACATCATCTTAGCACATTTTGATGAGCTAGCACCTGGTAATCTATATTCAGGCACTGTATAGAATGAACATCAGTATTCTTTGAACTAAGTGCAGGGCAATGAATCTTTCATTTATTTATTTTCTTTCACAATCTCATCAAATTGTCATTTGCCATAAAAAATTCCACAGTAGTCAATAGTATTTCCTTAAGGGTGTTTGCAGTGTATTCTTTCTTAGATATTTCGCAGTTTTCAGTTTCTTATTCTGTTCTCCTCTTCTGAAGAATAGTTTTATTTTACGTATGTACAGTATGAGACTCAAGGTGGATAACAAATCCATATATGACAACAATATTGAAATAAATAACAGTCCCCATCAAAATATTAACATGGGGGGGGGGGGAAGCAAAGTAAGAAAACATCAAAAGATAAAGCATAAAAATAATCAGCCAAAGGCCTTTTTAAATAGCCATGCTTTTACTAGCCATCGAAAACAAAGCAGCAATGCAGTTTGTTACTACCTTCCCTTTTTGAGGTATTTCAAGTAATAGAGCACATGCTTTGAATGTAGAAGGGCCCAGCTTCAATGCCTGGAATCTCTAGTTTAAAAGTATCAGGTAACATATGATTGGAGAATACTTCTCTCTGCCATTCTAAGTAGACAACACTGAGGTATGCAGACAAATAAGCTGACCTAGCTTCATAAGTTTCTTTGCACCTTTTAGCAGTATGCTAATTCTGTTCCTTGAGCCTTACCTGTTCTGTAGCCATAAAATCCAGCTTTCTAAATTCACTGTTTTCTCAGCTTAGACTCCTTAAAGGCCTGCTATGGTTAGGGCCCTTCATTGTAACTGGTGAATCCCAAGCAGTTTGCAAGCAGTACTTGCCATAGCAGTTTAAAAAATCCTTGCATATGTGACTCAGAGTTGCTATTTGGTGTGGGTGTTTTGCATGTTTGTAGTTGCTGTGAGTCTACGGGGTTATTACCTAGTCAAAGTCTAATTTGGAATGGTGGTGCAAAGTGTATGGCTAATTCGCAAAGGCAGATCATAGAAATAATGCAGCACAATCTGTTCTGTTATTCTCTGAAGAGGCTGTATTCCAAAATAAGGAGTAAGCAATATTTGTAGGACTGGCCCTAGGCCTTAGAGACAAACATAGCCCACTGTTTTGATGCTTCTAATAGTCCTGTCCAATAGCTACCCATATTGTCCATCTATTCTCAGAAGTACGCTCCTCCCCTCACACTTATGCTCTCCTAGTGTGCACTCCATAATGACTTTCTTGCCACTTCTTCATAGGCATACTTCTCAGTTTGAAAGCCCACGTAGGCCCTTTGTGAGCTTTCATAGCAGTAAAGATTGTTCTTCTTGCTCAGGTAAACTGCAGGCACCTTCCCTGGAAAATTCCACATCAAGTTCCTCTTATAATTAGTTACTGATTGATGCAGCCTTAATAGGATGTTTTATGTGAGCCCAATAAAAGTGGGAGAAAGTATTGCAGTAGCATAACCTAAAAGCTGGCTTATGTAGTAGACCAAGATATCCCGTGGTACCTTGGGTCACATACGCTTCAGGTTACAGACTCTGCTAACCCAGAAATATTACCTTGGGTCAAGAACCTTGCTTCAGGAGGAGAACAGAAATTGTGCTCCAGCGGCACGGCAGCAGCAGGAGGCCCCATTAACTAAAGTGGTGCTTCAGGTTAAGAACAATTTCAGGTTAAGAACAGACCTCCAGAACTAATCAAGTACTTAACCCAAGGTACCACTGTACTGTTCAGGAAATCCACAGTTTGCATCTTGCCTCAGCCAAGAACTCTCTTGAGTAGCCGCTTTCTCTCAATCTCTACTTCCTCCATCTAGGAAGATAATACCTACTTTGCAGAGTTATTGTAAGAATTACTGAGCTAATGCTTATGCCATTATTTATTATGGCCTCTAGCAAGCCACCCTTTTCCAAATCCAACAGCTTCATTTGTGCAGTAGTGCTAGATGTCTGATAGGAAGGAATTAGTACTTCTTGCTCCAATAATCCAAAAGTTGCCACTTGCTGGGTTTTAAACTCACCTGTCCATATTTTTTTTTTGCCCTCTCCCTTGTTGTTTTGGGGTTTTTTCGCTTTAAGCTTCTCTCTGGCCTCTGTGTGGACACCTGTGCAGAGCCTTGTCTTGGAACTTTCTGGAGCTAGTGCAATGTTTTGGCATTGACTGCCAAAACTCTGGTCATTCTTTTCTACCTTTGTATTTTTATTTTATTGTTATTCTATCTTACATTTTGTTATTTGCTTTATTTGGTTACAGTATAACTGCTGCTATGTGTACCTGTGAAAAAAAGCCCATCTTTTCTCAACCACTGTTGCAGATACTCTCCCAGGGTTTTGGATAAATGCATCTCAGAAAAAAGGCTGGCTCAGCCCTGAATTCAGCTACAATCTTCACTTTTGTGGAAAGAGACCCCCTTGTCGTCACTCTCTACCAAAGCCTTAAATTGTGGGGAAACAGTCCACCAGGCCAACCTAGAACTGTATATTACTGAATTAAATACAATAATAATATGCCACAATATGCAGAAAAGTGGATGAGGGTATCATTAAGAGCAGAAGGCACAGAGCAATTAGTGGTGCTTGAAAAGTTATAAAAATATTTCACATTCTCTTAAATACTTGCGCTAGGAGGCTTGAATCTGAAAGTTTTGTACGTCTTGCTTTAATGTAGTTGAAATACTGACTGTTCCCTTGTAGGTTACCTGGATGAAGGAATCCTTTACTCACTTGGGTAAACCCCATGACAAGGGAGAACAGCACATAGCTTGTATAGATATATGGATGTGATTATCTTCCAAATGGAGGTGTTTACAAGGGTTGGTGTTTTCTGCTGGGGTCTTGCTACAGAACAACAGTTGCTTGTATAGTTTTGGTTGTTTCCCACTGGGGGAGGAGGGAAACAGAGGAGGACTGCAAATAAAGAGATTTTTGATAATGTGAGGAATGTGGAGGAGGGAGAGAAGTGATAAGCATATACTGTAGTGGAGAGAAGGAAGGCCTATGTTATCAGATACATTCTCATGAAGGAATTAGTCTCATTTTAATTCAAACGCTTTGCAGCTGAGGCAAATACAAACAATTAGATTGTTCCACAAAGAAGACTTAAGTCAAGTGTGTCTAGCTGTTAAAATAATCTTTAAGAAACAGTTTGGCAATAAGCAAACTTCTTGCTGTTCCCTCCCCACACCCACTTGGTTCTCGTTTCGTTAAATAGCATTCCCTAAACAATGGCTTATTGTATGAACATTCTGCATCCTGTGATACAATTATTTCCTTACTTTTATTTGAGATCTTGATTCCCCCCCCCCATCTTCAGTTATTAAATATTCTGCCAACAATTGCAGCCCCTGCTTTTGATGCTTACAATCAATCCTAATATCAGGTAAGCCAGTGGTGAAACTCCTGTGGACTTTGATCTCAATGTGGCTTTGACCTCAGATGTTTTATCATGTCCCTGTGCAACATGTGACGGGTGAATCTTTGTGTCACGCTTTTGACCTCTGTTCAGTTATTTATTTAAAAATGTCTCTTTCCCCTATCTCTTTGAAAGTTGCGCTGTAACAGACTGAGGAGGTAAGACACGGGTGAAGGCAGAGTGAACATTTAGCACTAAGAAGCTGGGTTAACATCCAGCCAGGCTCAGGAACAAGGTATCTGACATCTAATCGATTCTAAAAGGAATGGGCATCGTCTTGTTTTTCCTGCTTGTACTAAAGATTTACAGCGAGGGTTGTTACAGTAGCTACAAGTAGGGTGTGTGTAGGGCATTAGTCATAACCTCCAATGAGGAGGCTGAAGTGTGGTTTTTTATGTGTACCCTTAGAAATGGAATGTGGGAAACTGAGTTATTTAGAAAAGGTGTCCTCTGCCTTTTTTGCAGTTGCAGCGCTCAGGGCAGCTTGCAACTATCCACAAGAAACAACAAACAAAAAATCAATATAGCCACAAAAGCTTTAAAAAACACACAAGGCAGCAGATCAAAACCCCTTAAAAAAATATGATGCTAGTCTATTAAAAACACGCAACCTGACATGTCAGAACAAACATTTTGACCAAATAAGAGATGATTAAGAGTAGGGGCCAACTGAACATCTTAGAGAAGGGGATGTCGCTGTTTGGGCACAGCCACAAAGAAGGACCTCTTGCCATCCTAGCCATTCACTCCTCCACCACTATCAGAAAGCAAAGAAGAGCCTCCCCCTTAGATCCTAATTTCTGGCTTGACAAGTGGGGTGCCGCAGGGTTCTGTCCTGTGTCCATTGTTGTTCAGAATTCAAAATAACCTTAACAGATTGGAGAACTGGGCCTGAGCTAACAAAATGAATTTCAGTAGGGACAAATGTAAGGTTCTACACTTAGGCAGGAATAATCAGCTGCACAAAAATAAGACTGGGTACACCCAGCTTGTCAGTAGTACATGTGAAAAGGATCTAGGGGTCTTGGTGGACAACAAGCTTAATGTGAGACAACAGTGTGATTCAACAGCAAAAAAGGAAATGTTATTCTAAGTGACATCAACAGTAGTGTCCAGATCAAAGGAAGTAATATTACCACTCTATTCTGCCTTGGTCAGACCACACCTGGAATACTGTATCCATTCTTGGCACCACAGTTTAAGAAGAATGTTGACAAGCTGGAACGTGTGCAGAGGAGGGCAACCAAGCTGATCAAGGGTCTGGAAACTAAGTCTTATGAGGAAAGGTTAAAGGGGCTGGGTATGTTTATCCTGGAAAAGAGGAAACTGAGAGGAGATAGGATAGCCACCTTCAAATATCTAAAGGGCTGTCACATGGAAGATGGACCAAGATTGTTTTCTCTTGCTCTGTAGGCTAGGATTCAAACCAATGGCTTCAAGTTACAAGAAAGGTGATTCTGACCAAGCATCAGGATAAACTAGTAGGAGCTGTTTGACAGTGGAACAGTTTCCCTTGGGAGGTTCTGAACTCTCCTTTCTTGGAGGTTTTTCATCACAGGCTGGATGGCCATTTGTCATGGATGCTGTAGCTGAGATTCCTGCATTGCAGTGGTTGGACTAGATGATCCCTCCAACTCTATGATTCTATTCAGTATTTTGTCAATTTAATCCCACAATTGGATTAAATTATTAACAGGGAGCAGGCGTATTTGCTGGATATAAAATATTTTGGAAGTCTAAATCCCTAATTTTAGCCTGATTAGCAACCATTATTATCAAAGCCTCAGGTGAAAAGCCCAATGCATATATCTTGTTCCAAAGCAGCTTTCATTGATGCAAAGCATAGTTGGCCAAAAGAATGTACAACTGCATTACAGTATAATCAAATTGAAAGGTTCAGGGTAATGAGCGCTAGAGCTCACTGGTTGAAATCCAACTTACAAAAAAGCTGAAGCCCCAACTCATTTAAGAACGCCAAGAATAGACCAGAGGATAAGTGCCTGCACGGCATCCACATATGGCCCAGCATCTTTAATCCAGATTGCAGCTCCAATCAGCAACCGGATAACAGAGTTAGCCTTTAAAAAAATCTAGAGCTCAGTGTTTGTGGAAACCACTGTTAGTGTAACAAAAGTGGACAGTTGCTAAAGTAAAATATCACTTTTAAAAGAGTGAACAGAAGTGGAGAAAACACACATCCTTGATATACTCTTCTTGTAGTTGAAATGTGGATCAGAGAGGTTCTCACTTGTCCACAGTGAAGCTACATTTCAGTTTGACTAGACATTTTACAAATTCAAAACAAAGGCCTCTTGTGAATAGACAGGGCCTCCAGCTTTACACATAACAAATTCCTTGGAACTAAATCAAAAGCATAGAAAGGTTAACGCCTCCCCCACTTTGATTGGAGTACTCTGCTGCATGATGGTACAAAAAGAAACAGTGATCTACAACTGTATGGCTTGGTCTGGAGCCAATTTATTCATCTCCAAGACTTTCAACTTCTTACTTCCATATCTCTCCCCCCACCCCATAAACACTACAATTGCCTTATGATATATGGGGACCGCAGCTCATCTTAACACACAACGTGTAAAATGATGCTAAAAGGGGCACCTGTCAACTCAGATTCTCTTTTAGTACAGATGGAGGAATACTATCAAGCCTGGATGCCTTGTTCAATTCATGCTGTGAAGTTAAATCATGGACATCGTGTTACATTTGTGCAAGTGTGTCCACACATGAACCCTAAAACATGCTTCCTAGAGAGGTGAGGCCTTTTGTGTGAGACAGTCACATGCTTCTATGAAAATTTGTCACACCAAAGTATCATTGGACACACAAGCGACACATACGGTTATTGCAAGAAAGTAACAACGAAATTAATCCTAAATTGATAAATGCAGTGCAGCATGTACAGTGAGATGAGGTGGGAGTTGGAGGCACAGCGTTATGGTGGTTCCACTCGTACCTAAAGCAGCATTCAAAGACGTCTGCTCAACATTTGTGCTGCAGGGTCCTGTAAGCTTTCAGTTCTCCTCCCATGCTTTTTAACATCTCTGTGAAACCTCAGGGTGGGGTCATTAGAAGATTTATAGTGATGTGCAATGAATGTGCTGGTGGCACTTGTCCCTGTTTTTCATTGTCAGCTGAGTCAGGTGAGGTGGTCCAGGTGCTTAGAACTGATAATGAGCTGAATGAAGGTTGAATCCTAACAGCATGGAGGTGTTGACAGGTGGTTCCATGCTTTTAATGCGTTTTGTATGTGTATTTGCTCTTTGCATTGCTGAATGTTATTGTTTTTGCTTGTGATATAATTATTCTAAATAGAGAAACAAAATTGATAAGAAGCAAATATCACTTAAATCACAGTAGGATTTAATTCTGAGAAAACATGCTGCTAGCTTTCTGCTGTTATGACCAAAGCAAGCCTATCTGTCTGTTTTTATTTTATTTCTAATTTTATTTCTATTGTATGTGAGATATATGTATGTATGAGATGAAATCTTCCTTGGGCACCACTAAACTGATGTGGGTAACCCAAGTAAAAATGTTTTTAATTTGTAAATGAATATTTAATTTTATTTATCTAGGGCATGTATGTCCAATGCGTTGACCACAATTGACTCGGGGATCACTTGAGAATTTTGGTCCATCATGGCTGCTTCAAGCACCCCGCTCGGCCACCGGCTTTGCCCGACACCCAGTCAGCTGGCCGGCCCAGACAGGTGCAAGGCTCCTGCCTCCGTCTCCTGCAAGCTGCAGCCCCGGGCAGGGAGGCAAAGATGAGGTGTGTGGACTCTGCATGGGCTGCACCTGCAGAGGTGTCCGGTCAGCTGGCCAGCCACGAAATGGAGCTGAGGGAAGGGCAGCACGCGAGAGAGACCATGACGTTTCTCCTTCTCCCCCCTCCCACCATTTCCCATGGAAAGAAAACCCTCCCCTTCCTAGTTCTGCATGGATGCTGAACTTTCCCCACCTTTCCAGCTCCAGCCTAGCTGCATTTATTCAAAAGTAAGACGCTGCCGCCCCTTCCCACATTGCTCTTTCATCTGGTAAAGGGGAAAGTGGACATTCTGGGGCGTGTTGGCTTCCCGTGTGCACCAACGGCCCTGTGAAGGGGCTGGTGTGGGGGTAATAATTTGTTATTATTGTATAATCATAATTTGTATAATATGATTATTGTATAATCATATCATACAATAATGATTATAATATGATTATTGTATAATATGATTATTGTACAGTGGTACCTCGGGTTACATATGCTTCAGGTTACATATGCTTCAGGTTACATACGCTTCAGGTTACATACGCTTCAGGTTACAGACTCCGCTAACCCAGGAATAGTACCTTGAGTTAAGAACTTTGCTTCAGGATAAGAACAGAAATCGTGCTCTGGCGGCGCGGCTGCCGTGGGAGGCCCCATTAGCTAAAGTGGTACTTCAGTTTAAGCACAGTTTTAGGTTAAGAACGGACCTCTGGAACGAACTAAGTACTTAACCCGAGGTACCACTGTATAATCATAATCTGGCTGGGTTTCCCCAGCTAAATATAATATGTTTAAGTTGACGAATGACCATGGGAGAGTGTGGTAGATCACTGCCATTTTTTTATATTGAATGGTGGATTGCAACCTGTTGGATGTTGGACGTACCTCAGCTAGGGAGCTTTCAGCATTCATTTTGCAGAGGTGCTAGTTGCGGCAAAAGCCACAAAGAGTATTGCGTTAAAGACTAAAAGGTTTATTATGGCATAAGTTCTCTCTCACGTTCATGAAAGCAAAATGCTGTCACACTGTAGCATCATGGGAAGGAATGGAAGCCACAGTGAAGATAATGTAGGTGAATAGGTGGGGTTTTGCAAATGAAAGCTTGTTCAGTTTTCAGTGGCTGTCACAGTGTGCTGATTATGCTTTAACTCTGCCTTGGACTATTGTCTCTCTTTTATTTGTGTTATAATTTTAATGTGGAAGGCAGTACAGTCAAACCTCATTTGTTGAATGTAATTCGTTCCGGAAGCCCGTTCTGATTGGCTGCAGGAGCTTCTTGCACTCAAGAGGAAGCCGCATCGGAAGTTTGGCTTTCGAAAAATATTTGAAAGCCAGAGCACTTCTGGGTTTTGAGTGTTCAGGAGCCAAAACATTCCAAAATGGAAGCGTTTTGGAACCGAGGTTTGACCATATAAATAAGTTTTTAATAAATAATTAAAATTCAGTTTGATGGAATGAAGTAGATGGGCTGTGGAGTGAGAAAAACTCACCCCTTACTCCAGGAGCAGGAAGCTTGTTTGTTTTACTCACCTCAGTGGTGTCTCTATAGGCAGCCCTTTTCTTTCCTCCCATATAAGTGAATGGCTGCTTTTCATTCTGCACACGGGAGCATTGCTGTATGAGGTAAAGATGTCTCCTGACAGTGGGTGGTTCTGCCTCCATTGACAAGGTGGGAACAAATATGTATCTGTGTGCTGTTCATAAAGAGATACCATACAGCCTACCCTGACGTTTCTCCAGCATTTAGGCCCTCCCCTCACATGCACCCTGTCTATCAACATAGAAACTGGGACATTTTCTAATAAACAGTAGATTGAGTATTGAACTTTTGTTATTCAGGAAAATAAACCGGAGGAGGATTCAGATGAAGAACTTTCTCCAGAGGAAAAGAGGACATTGGAAAGAAAGCTGAAGAAAGAGCGCAAGAAGGAAGAAAAGAGATTAATGCGAGAAAAAGGGATCGTAGTTAAGAAAGTAGAATCTAAGAAACCATCACCGTCAGAGTTGGCACTAAACTATTTAACTAGGTAAGTTCAATAGCTTTGAAGATTCCTCAAGAGTTGTTGGCTTCCATCTGTCTCAGAAGACAATGGAGTGTGCCTTTGGGGTGAATGTTCAGAATATGTCATCTGTTTTGAACTTGCTACCAAATTTTATTTCTGAAGCACCAAGTAGAGGCAAATTCCAGTTATTTCAATGAAACTTGTTTCCAGGAAGTTTAGGATTAGGTTTAAATGGTGATAACTTCAACAGGTTGGTTAAAGTACAAGTTCTTAGAGTTAAGGTTAATATTGGGAGACCTACTTCAGTTGGTGTGGGACTGATGCAAGCCAGACTTTCTGACAATCCTTTCAACAAGAGCATATAAAATCTATGCATAGAGTGATACAAAATGAATGATTGGGTTACAAATTGTCTCCTTATGCTCTCCTAAATGGCTTTCTTTCTTTCTTAACTTGGTGGCCCCATATGCATATGCACAATATCACAAACCACTTGTGATCACAAACCACTTGTGATCACAATATCACAAACTCCTTGCAATTTCAAAAGCAGCGTCCCATGTGGCAGTATGAGGAGTGGGACTTGTGTTATAGAAAAGCAAATTTAAATCCCTCATGGGCTCATGGAACTGGTTCTGTGTATGGATCCCGGCCTATTTACTCCTCCCAAATTCCTGGTTTATTTTGTATAGTTGTCTCCCACTCTCAAGCTGGCATTTGTAGGATGCACAGGTAGCCTCCCATCCAGGTACTGACCAACCACAGATCTGCTTAGTTTCAACATGGTTGTTGTAGCACATACATGGTCTGAAATTAAGTGGGAACCCTTGTTCAGCAAGTAACTGCAGGGAAGTTGAGTGCTGACATTTCCCTTAACCACAGTTAATGCAGAAGAGGCAATTCACTCGCAAGAGGGAATGAGAATGGGAAGGGGTAGGGTGTAAATCTGGATGCTGGCTCTCAGTTTCTGAATAGTACTTAGGAGGGAGGCAACGTCATGTCTGCACTGATTCCATAACAAGGTGACATAAAGCAGGCGAAACCAATTATATGCGTCCTCCTGCAAAAGTGGACAACACTATTTGTGCCTTGAATCCCAGAAGAGGTTTGCAAGTGAAGAAAAAGAGAGAGATCAGAAACCCTAAACCAGACCTTTAGAAACACATATCAAAGCAGCAATAAACCAAAAAGGTTGCAGCACACACTTTGAACATTCACACAACCTTTGTGCAGTTAGTTATTTTGTATTTAATAAGATGATTAAATGGAGATAAGTCATTGTTTTTCCATATGCACTGAAATTGCATGAAGTGTCTTAAAGTCATGCAGCTTTAATGATTCGAGGCAAAGTATTACATGACATTTGGTTGATAGAAAAGAGCTAAAAGGGTTGTACATTTTAGAAAGTTTGGTGAAGAACAAAGCCTTATATTTGAATACCAGGGTTTTATAATTATATGCCAGGGTAAGTGAGTGGTTCCAGACTTCAAATAATGATTTACTGTAATTAGATATTGGGCCGGGGGGGGGGGGACAACTTAAAATTCCAGTAGGGGATAAAAGGGAGAGGGGGTGGTTAAAAGTAAAAAGCTTCCATAACAGGCTACAGCCAATTACAGGACCCAGATAAACACAAAGGTGGTGTTTATTTTTTCCCAACAGCAACCCAGTTTCCACTCTAAAATCCAGAAGACTAGCATGTTACAAAATATAGGTTACCACATGAAATAGCTCCAGTATCTGATCTCCAGCAGTACTTAGGACTAAAACACACAGGCAGGCTAAATGGTTGCTTATAACTTTTTAGTGTGGAGGGAGAAAATTAATTGCCTTCCAAGCTGGGGGAACGTGTGTTTTTTGTGACATAACCCTCATAGTGGAGTGATAGCAAAATGACAGCAATATTCTCAATATGGAGCATAGCTGGGATTCTTCACCATTGTTTGAAATGGCAATTGGATGGGCAAGTTATATGCCATCTGCTCAAAAAGTACTCTGGAATGTACTGGTAAGTGATTACTGCAGTATTAGCAGTCAGGTTTGATGAATAAAGGATGAAACTGTGGCCTCTTTTAGTCAACGTTTTATCTATTTTGAATATAGTCCTATTTTGAGGACTATTTTGGGTATCATTTTCAACTGACATTAAACAGGAAATCACTCATAACCAGTGTTCGAAACTCCCATTGTTTTAGGCGCATTTTGCGACAGGGAATTTCATTAGCGTGAGCAGTTTCTGAGTTCTGGGCTCAGTACTGCACCTAAGATTTCAGATTAAAACTGCAGAGTGGAAGGAAAGGGAGAACCTTTTTCTGCCTCTCCACATCCGGCTTCTCTCTGAAGACTGGAGAAGAGACCCTCTTAAGAATATTAGGGGGTGGGCAGGGAAGGACTAGACCATATGAAAAATGAACATAATATTTTAACTGCAGTTCATTCATTTTCAGCTTTGTGTTCTTGTTATAAAAAAGTGCGCCTAGACATTCCGCTGATGTGCTAATAACCTAGGTTTAAGAAAGCTCCTAGATTTCATCTCTCAATTTCTAACACTGCTCATAACATATTAAGATTGGCTGGCATTGTTACATCTTGGGAGACAATGGAAGAGTGTACCTTTGGGGTGAAGTCAAACTATGGGATAGTTCCATGCCTGCTGTCGCTATAGAGACCGATACGGGAGAGATAGGTTTTGTTGCAGCTGTGGCATATAAAGGCATTTGGTTGTGTTGATGCAGGTTACCATGACATTTTCACAGTTTTAAAAAAATGCCATTGTACACCTGCATCAACACGACCAAACGCCTTTATATGCCACAGCTGCAACAAAAAACCTATATCTCAACAAAAGAGGTTTAAAGACTGTCTCAAGGTAAATCTAAAAAAATGTAGTATAAACACTGACAACTGGGAAACACTGGCCTGCGAGCACTCCAGTTGGAGAACAGCCTTTACCAAAGGTGTCATGGACTTTGAAGACACTCGAACTCAGAACGCAAGGGAGAAATGTGCTAAGAGGAAGGCATGCTTGGCAAATCTACACTGTGATCAACTCCCACCCGGGAACCAATGTCCCCACTGTGGAAGGACGTGTGGGTCCAGAATTGGCCTCCACAGTCACTTACGAACTCATTGTTAAAACCGTGTTTATGGAAGACAATCTTACTTGGCTACGAGTGATCACCAAAGAAGAAGAAGAAGACCATGGCATTTATTCTTTCTGCGCTCCTCCCGGCAGTCATTCTTCCTCTTGTCACTGCTGTGAATACACAACCTGACTCTCTCCAGGTGCTGTAGTAGTCTGTAAGGGATTTCCCCATGGTGGGGTTAATGTTGCCAATCTTCATGTCACTTTTGCAGACATCTTTGTAACACAGAATTAGTCTGCCAAAGAACCAGGTGCCTGAAGCCAGTTCCCCGTAGAGCACTTCCTTGGGGATCCTGCCATCTTCCATCCTGTGGACATGACAAAGCCAACGTAGACGTAGCTGAGGCAGGAGTATGAACATGTTGGGAATGTGGGCTTGGGAGAGCACATCATTGTTTGAGGTTCTGTCCTGCCATGTGATGCCCGAAATCTTTCTGACGCAGCACACATGGAGGGCATTAAAGCATTGCTCCTGGCGGGAGTAAGTTGCTCATGTCTCACTACAATGAAGCAGTGCGCTCAACATTCAAGGCTGGTAGACCTTCATCTTGGTATTGGTCGTTAGCCTAACATTCTCCCATGCTGTTCTGGAGAAAACACAGCCCTGTTCCACACTGCTTTTTAAAGGGAAGGCATCCAAGGATGAGCTGTCATAGTGGAAGGTGCTACACATGTTCTTGTGGAAGGACAAGCGTCTTGTGGCGCTTAGGTGGGCATACTATCATATTGAGTAATGAAGCGTCCTTTTCAGTTGACGATGTCAAAGTCCTTTGTCAAGTTTTTGGAGGTGATGTACAAGGGCGACTCTGCTCTCAGCATTTCTCCTGCAGCTGACGCAGTGTGAATATCAAGTTGACTGTTGACCTCTGAGCTTTAAACCGGCTTTGTGACTCAGGATAAACCCTGTCAGTGAGTAACTGTAATTTGTTGAGAACTACATGGGCGAAGACTTTCCCCACAGTACTCAGCAGGGAGATTTTTCGGTAGCTGTTGCAGTCATAGTGGTCACCGTTGTTCTTGTAGAGGGCCGGAATGCTGGAGTCGCACTTGTCTTGTGGCACAGATCCTGTTTCCCAGCATTGCAAGAGAAGGCCATGGAGGTGCATCATGAGGGAGGAGTTGAAGCTGGCTTTCAGCACTTCACTTGAGATTCCTTCCTGTCCTGGGGCTTTATCACATGCCTGATAGTTAAGGAAGGGAGGGACATCCAGCTCTTCCAAAGACAGGCAGAGTCTGGATGCTGTCAACTGCTGTGTCAGCAATCATGTTTTTCTGCAAGTGCTGTTCTTGATAGTGCTCATCTGCTTGCTGCAGTCTGTGATGATCTCTCCAGACAAGGTTTTCAGTGGTACGGTTTTCCTGACTATTGGTCCAAAGGCTTTCTTCATGCCTTCATACATTTTGCAAGTGAGTTGAATGCTCTGACACAGCTTTAGCCAATAATCATTGGCATACCGTCTGGCAATCCTCTGGGCATCACTCCTTGCCTTTCTCAGTGCAGACTTTAAACAGGAAATCACTCATAACATAATGGGATAGTCATTACAAATTTCCATGTTTGAAGGAAACACCTTAAAGTGACTTCCGATGCTAATAACACCTTGTAATTGAAAGGAGTGTGAATACCTGCAGTATAAAGAGCAGATTAATGAAAGAACTTAGTCATGCATGACTATTTAGATGAGAATCCACCTAGCTTTTCAGAAGCCATGTCAAGCAGCAGCTTTCCACAAAGAAAGCCAACTGGAACCTGTGTTTTGGTATAACTAATGCTAAAAGGGTGTTGTATAATTTTAATAATAAACAATAAATAAAATAAAATAATATGATGAATTAAGTTGCGTAGTGTGGTGTTTGTTCATTCCAGGTATTGTTCACGATTACTTGTGTTTAGTTATTAAGCAGAAATATCTGGCATTGCTTTCTATTGGCATCATAATCTTTGTGTTGTTGAGCTACACTCTCTTTAAGTCAGTTGAGCCTTTGGAAGGGCTGAAGTTGAAGAAAAAAATCAACCTCAAAATTTTGAAAAGCTTCTCAAGTTATTTGGTTATCTACATTTATCTTGTTTTTTCCCCAAGAGGAGAAGATGGAAGACTTCTAAGAACTGATCCAGCTAAGACTTCCTTATTGGGGGGGGGGTGTATTTTCAGGAATGAGAAGACTGATAATTCTGCTTTTGATGTAGAAGAAAACAGGAAATACTGAGATAACATTCTTAACAAGGAAGTAAAAAAAGAAGGGTTCGCCCACAATTTCCCAAATGTTCTGTTTACTGTTTTATTTGGGCTGATTGTTTTGGATAGATCCTTATGACAAGCATGTTTAGATGTTTTTGCATCAGCCGCAAAAATAAAAGTGAGTGGGTGGGAATTGCAAATGTTAGTCAGCACATGATACCTTATCTAGAAATGGTCACTTCTGACCTGGGCCATGTAAACAACTCTCCAGTATCTGAAAGAACCAGCAGAGGGCATAATTAAGTTTTCTCCGGCTCCCTAATGAATTGAGAATATGTTTGTCCCTTAGTATGCTTTGGCCAAAATGCTCATAACAGGAAAATACTCTCAAAAGCTTCTGGTGCATTTTATTTAAATATTTCTTATTATTCCTCTTCAGAAAGTGATTCCTGGGTGGTATACAACTGAACTGAAAAAATATACTGTACCGTGAATTGCCTATACAACACACCATAGAAAAAAGAGCAAGCAACAGCATTTGAAAATCCTGAGTTAAATTTGCTTTTTTAAAAGTTTTAATCTGGAGTCTAAAAATAGTATTGGATGCCTCCTTAGGTTTTCAACATGCCCTGCTACTAATTTTAAACCTTTTTAAAAAAAAGAAAATCACTTTTTCAAAATAATTGTTACATGCTTCCAGTGTTAGTGAAAAATTCCTACAGATGTCTGAATAGAATTCACTTTAGGTAAAGATGGTGAAAGGTGTGGAAGTGTGAATTGCAGCAAACATGTACCTAAATGACCTCCTTCGCAGCTCTGTGTGTTCTAGAGAGGTTCCTGTCTGTCACATTTAGCAAGTTCTCTTATTTCCTGGGGGACGCGGGTGGCACTGTGGGTTAAACCACTGAGCCTAGGGCAGGGGTCAGCAAACTTAGTGTGCCTCGGGCCGGTGTCTCCAGCGCCTATCGCGCGGTGGGCCAGAGGGCGGGGGAGCGCGTGCCCATATGCATGAGCACACGCTATTTCGGGCGCACCTCCAGGTCGGAGGAGCACCGGAAATAGCTTGTGCACAGGCCTCCTCCGACCTGGTTGTGCACCAGAAATAACGCTTTCGCATGCGCACAAGCTATTTCCGGTGCACCTCTGACCTGGAAGTGGGCAGCCGCTCAGCGCAGCGCTGGTAAGAGCAGGCGGTGGGGGCAGGCGGCGGGGGTCACCGCAGGCTGGATAAACGAGTCCCTCGGGCCTTATCCAGCCCATGGGCCTTAGTTTGGGGACCCCTGGCCTAGGGCTTGCTGATCAGGAGGTCAGCAGTTCGAATCCCCGCGACGGGGTGAGCTCCCGATGCTCGGTCCCAGCTCCTGCCAACCTAGCAGTTCAAAAGCACGAAGTGCAAGTAGATAAATAGGTACTGCTCTGGCAGGAAAGTAAATGGCGTTTCCGTGCACTACTCTGGTTCGCCAGAAGCGGCTTAGTCATGCTGGCCACATGACCCAGAAGCTGTACACCGGCTCCCTCGGCCAGTAAAGCGAGATGAGGGCCGCAACCCCAGAGTCATCTGCGACTGGAGCTAACGGTCAGGGGTCCCTTTACCTTTACCGTTTACCTTGTTTCCTGGAGATTTATATATCCACTGTTTTCTCTGGGTGTGATGCCATACTTGTAGTGATCAAATGAGGCATAATATGGGGGGCCGGTAGGTGGGTGAGATGGCCACGTTGCTGATTTAAGCATTCACACTGTAGATCAGCAATAGTTTGCTCTGTCTCCTAAATCAGGGTGGTCCAACACATGGCCCAAGGGCCGCATGTGGCCTTCAAGGCCTTTTGAGGCGGCCTTCAGCAACATTTGATGCCCCACAACAGCCATTGCACTGCCTTCCCAAAGCTGGGTAAGAATGGTCTTGGGCTTTGGGCAGGAGTCACAAGGCTCTGACAGGGTTCTAGAGTCCACCTTCCTCCTTCCCAAAGCCTAGTTAATGCTTTCCCAGCTTTGGGAAGGAGGTAGCAGGGTTCTAGGACCCTACCAGAGACTCGCGCCTCCTTGCCAAAGCCTAGTGCCAACATCAAATTTTGGCTTCGCTATCCCCTCCACCACGTAGCAAGGCATTGTGCAGCCCATGGGTTAATGTTGAAGGACTCCTGCAAGGCACTTGGTAAGAAAGTTGGCCCGCCCTGTCCTAAATGGATTTCCTGGTGTAAATCATCATAGCACTATAAATCACTAGGAAGTCCCCATTTCAAATCTCCCTGTAGACATCAGGTCAGTAGGCAGACTTAGGCAACCTGCTCACTCAGCCTCCACTGCTGATAAGCAATATGTGGATAATTGTACCTTGTAGGGTGGTTGTTAGCTTCATTGAGCTTGTATTATCCCAAATGCTTTGGATGTTCCACAGCACTATATAAACAGTAAATATTGCTGTCATATTTTGGACTCCTCCATGGGAATGGGGTTGCAGTCTGGACAAGCCACCTATGATCTCCAGGCCCTAGTAAAGTGTACTCTCTCCCTGTGGGCCCTCATGTCTACCACACCACTGTGTTGCCCCTGACTGGTTAGTCTACTTTGGGGCTCTATTAAAAAACAAAGTAGATTCCAGATGTCTAAAGTCTTCCCACCCCCGGATCAGGCAGGAGAGCAGTGAAACCAAATCTGGTTTGCCAGTGCTTATTATTTATTTTTCTTTGTTTCCTGCCTCTTGCATGTGAAACTCAAACCTTCTTAGGACCTAAGTGTGTTGGTTGGTTAGCATACCAACATTGTCGGAAGATGATGTTTGGCTGTACTTTGAAAGAGGTGCTTATATGGCAGCAGCTTCAGTTATCCTATAATAATGTCTAGGAATGCCATGTCTTTTAAACGGGTATTTGATCAAATTGTCCCAGTCAGATAGCAAAATTCAGTAAGATTACCTTGTATTCCCTGCCAAGTAGGTGGAGAATTTGCAGTCTCCAACATAGAGGCAGCAACCATTTTGCGAGGGTTCCCAGCCCCGGTACAAGTTGGTGGAGTGCATATAAGTTTTGTCCCCCATTCCACCCCTGTTCTGCCTTCTTCAATTGGCCTAAAATGGTTGCCGCCCGTATTGTAACTTTGCAGTGACCAGTTAAGTTTATATCAGGCAGATACCAATACAAAATCTTTACTGTATCTGTTGAAATCAGCACTACTTCAGAAGGCCAACAAGGTCTTGGCTGTAGCACAATGAAGGACAAACAGAAGCTTGACTAATTTGATTATCTGAATCCAAATCTAAGCATAAAAATGCCACAACGGAAGCTTAAATGTTTGTTGATTAATCCGATAAATTATTAAAAACAGCAGACCAGTCTACAGATTTAAGATTATAAATACCACACACAGAAATACCTAACTACAAATGCCTCACATTGTTTTAGGAGAGAGTCATGAGAAGGGAAACTTGTTTCTCACACAAATATATGCAGTTTTCATTAATTAATCATCTAGAACTAATATGATTTATTAAGATTTCCTTATTTGAGTGACAGCCCTAGTAACAAATGATTTTTTCAGGGTGGGGTTGGGGAGGTTGCCACAGCTGACCTGGTTTCTCAGATCCCAGAAAAATTTACTTTGTGGCACAGAAACACAACACTCTTTCCTTCCTCTGCCCCTTACTAGCAGGAAATATGAATACATATTTGTGTGTATTATAGTTCTTTTAAATAGTGTGTTGTTTCATATTTTATTGAATGCTTTGTAAAGTCTGGATTGAGCTTTTTAAAATTTTCCCTGTCCTAGATCCATCACAGCTATCATGCTGCCTTGAATTATTGTTGTTTGCCTGCTTGAGTCATGGAAATTTATCTAATGTTGTGTGGTTACATTTATATAATGCATCATATTTTAAAACATGTCAACAGTTTATATGACCGGCCAAGAGGCCCATGCTGAGAAAAATCTGGACTTAATTATGTAAAGCTAACTCAGTCTCAGCAGGTGTGTCTAACAATATACTTCTATCAAAATTTTGGGCCCCTGTGGGACTGCTTTCTCTGCCTCTGAGAACATAATTTTTTTGGTTCTACTGACCTTTCTCAACTCAAGTTCGTCAGTGAGGAGCTTCTTGTGAAAGATGTCAGTTTATTACACTTGAATCTATCAACATTTTCTTTAATACTTGTTTCAAGAAAACTTATGTTCTAGTCTAAGAAGTTAGGATAAATTAGTGTTTTCTTAACTAAGAAGTTAGTACAGTGGTGCCTCGCAAGACAAAATTAATTCGTTCCGCGAGTTTCTTCGTCTAGCGAATTTTTCGTCTTGCGAAGCACGAAATCCCATAGGAATGCATTGAAATTCAATTAATGCGTTCCTATGGTCAAAAAAAGTCCAAACAAAGCCAAATTTGGTACAACAAAAGTTTATTAAGTGCTCTTTAAAGTCACACATACTGTAAAGAGCATTTCAAAAATTGAAGGAACAATAAATTAAGTTTCTAAACATGACAGAAAAACATTTAAAAATCAACAAAGTGTACAGTACATTTTCTAAGACTCTGGGGAACCACTCGAAGAAGGTTCCTCTTCCACTCTTTGCTTCTTGCTGAAGAACCTGTCCATGGTCTGCTGCTTCATCCGCCTTTTCAGCACCTCCCTGAAAGGCGACATGACCATCGTATCAAAAGTGTTTGCAAGGTCATGTGCCACGTGCTCGTTAGGGTGGTGCCGCTGTGCAAAAGCCTGCACATCCTTCCACTTCATGCAAATGTCCCTCAGTTCTTTGGAGGACAGCCGTTCCTCAGTTGCTTCCTCCTCTTCCAGCGAGGCCTGCTCCTGCGCAGCCTCTGCCTGCAGTTCGACCAGCTCCTGGGTGGTCAGCTTGTGGTCGTGCTCCTCCACCAGCTCGCAGACGTCCTCCTCTGTGACCTCCAGGCCCATGGTCCTCCCCAAGGCAACAATTTCCTGCACCACTGTTGACTCTGGTGCATCAGAGTCACTTGGTGCCACACAGTCCGGCCACAGGCTGCGCCAAGCGCAATTCGAATTTCTCTGGCTGATCCCGTTCCAGGCCATGGTGATCATCTACAAGCAGGTGACGATGTCGAAGTGGTCCTTCCAGAATTCCCGCAGGGTGATGGTGGTGCAATCAGTCACCTCGAAGCATCGCCTGAAAAGCTCCTTGGTGTAGAGTTTTTTTGAAATTGGCGATGACCTGCTGATCCATCGGCTGGAGCAGTGGCGTGGTGTTAGGCGGCAGGATCATGATGCTGATGAAGCTGAATTCCTCCAACAAGTCCTCCTCAAGGCCTTTAGGATGAGCAGGAGCATTGTCCATCAGAAGCAAAGCCTTCAGTGGCAGGTCGTTGTCCAGCAGGTACTGTTTGACAGCAGGGCCAAAAGCAAGATTGACCCAGTCCACAAACAGCACACATGTGACCCAAGCCTTACTGTTGGATCGCCACATGACACTCAGCTGCTCCTTGTCGACCTTGTGTTTCTTGAAGGCCCGTGGGTTCTCCGAGTGGTACACCAGCAGGGGCTTGATCTTCAGGTCGCCGCTTGCGTTGGCACAGAAGAGCAGGGTCAGACAGTCCTTCATGGGCTTGTGGCCAGGCAACTTGGCCTCCTCCTGTGTGATGAAAGTCCTTTTGGGCATCCTCTTCCAAAACAGCCTGGTCTCGTCGCAGTTGAAGACCTGCTGTGGAACGTAGCCCTCCGTCTTCACAGCCTCCAGGAACTCCAATGCAAAGTCTTCAGCCGCAGAAACATCAGAACTGGCAGCCTCTCCATGCCTGACCACGCTGTGGATTCCAGATCTTGTCTTGAACCGGACAAACCAGCCTCTGCTTGCCTTGAAGACTTCTGGCTCGCCTGAGATTCCTGGCTGTTCCCGGACGAGGTCTGCGTGCAAGGCCTTGGCCTTCTCACAAATGACGGCCTCAGTCACTGTGTCCCCTGCACGCTGCTTCTCTTCTAACCAGATGAGCAGCAACTTCTCGACCTCCTCCAGAACAGCTGGGCGGTTCTTCACGATCCTGGTGACTCCCTTGGCTGCATCAGTCTCAAGGATCTTCTCCCTCATCTTCAGGATGGTGCCGATGGTCGATGGGTTCCTGCCGTACTCCCTGGCGAGGTCTGTCACATGCATTCCACCATCGTGCTTCCGGATGATCTTCTTCTTCATTTCCAGCGTCACCTTCTCCTTCTTCCTCTCGCCGGCCTCTGCAGCAGCAGTCTTCTTGGGTCCCATGGCAGCACAGCTCCTAGCTTCGTAAACTCAGGAAAAAAAAAATCAGTGCTTCACACCCAAAAAATTCAAAAGCACCCAGCCACCCACCACACAGGAATTCAAACCCAGAACCAAGTCCTTGAATTCCAAACACCCAACCCAAAATCCAAAACCCCCCCAAAAAGTTTTAAAAGTTTAACTTACGAAATGGCTGCAAATCACCAAAGTCTTCAAAATCCTCAAATGGCTGCAAAAGAAGTTTTGGAAAAGCTTTAAAAATCACCAAAGTCTTCAAAAACCTCAACTGTTCCCCCAGCCACCCACCCACCACACAGAAATTGCAAACCCCTCCCCAGCTGTTGCAAACCCCTCCCCAACTGTTGCAAACCCCTCCTCAACTGTTCCCCCAGCCGCCCACCACACAGAAATTAAAAGCCAGAAATTTTTTAAAACAAAAACAACAATTAATTATTATTATTATTATAGTATCTGAGAAGCTGGCGACTCACCTCATGTGCATAGAGTGGTGGGTTGCTTTTGAAAGAAAAATAGTCAAAGGGTGTAGTCCACTTGAAAGTTCTCCTGCAGAATAGTGTTCTTGCACACACCCCATTCATTTCAATGGTACTTGTAGAAGTTATCTTCAAAAATTCCACTATGTGCTCCTAAAGTAGTTCTTTGTGCTTAGGTAGTATCTCATTTTTAAAATTACCAGAAAAATAAGAAACTAATCTTTCTTTATACTTCTTACCAGATTTGTTTCCCATTTTCTGATATCCAATTAATATGGGGCCACAGGAAATTAAATTACCAAACTGAATGCATGTTTAACTGTTGGAGATGCTGAGTTATTTATTGTCTGCAACCTTGTTCTCCTACCATCGTGTCTGCATACAGCAAAGCTGTCACAATATTTATGCAGTTTTTTCGTTTCAAACACACTCTTTGGGGTTGCAGCATACAATAGTGAATGGTATGAAGAATAATAATAATAATGCCTTAGGTCTCTGCGTGAAAAATACCTGCTGCTTGCAGAGTCAGCTGGTGTTGTTTCTGTTGCTAATAGGAGGGGCCTAAGGCCAAAGTACAAGAGAGTATGTGTTTTGCAAAACACCATCAAGACTTGGATCTCAAAAAATCATTTACTCGGGTTAAGTCAGTAAGGCTAGTAATGCCAGGGTTGAGGACAGTGTCCTACATTTCATTTCCTTTTCCATATTCCCAGTGCTATTTTCTAGAAAAAGAGATGCTGAAGCTCACCACCCGGAAAAACCTGGACTTATTTTTTTGTCCGGAAACTCATTTTTGGGAATATGGCAACCCTATGTGCCACAGTTGCCCAGATATGATTAGTAGTAGGAACACTGGAGCCACTAAGACCATTTTTTTGTTGTTTAGTCGTTTAGTCGTGTCCGACTCTTCATGACCCCATGGACCAGAGCACGCCAGGCACTCCTGTCTTCCACGGCCTCCCATAGTTTGGTCCAACTCATGCTGGTAGCTTCGAGAACACTATCCAACCATCTCGTCCTCTTGCGTCCCCTTCTCCTTGTGCCCTCCATCTTTCCCAACATCAGGGTCTTTTCCAGGGAGTCTTCTCTTCTCATGATGTGGCCAAAGTATTGGAGCCTCAGCTTCAGGATCTGTCCTTCCAGTGAGCACTCAGGGCTGATTTCCTTCAGAATGGATACGTTTGATTTTCTTGCAGTCCATGGGACTCTCAAGAGTCTCCTCCAGCACCAGAATTCAAAAGCATCAATTCTTCGGCGATCAGCCTTCTTTATGGTTCAGCTCTCACTTCCATACATCACTACTGGGAAAACCATAGCTTTTACTACACGGACCTTTGTTGGCAAGGTGATGTCTCTACTTTTTAAGATGCTGTCTAGGTTTGTAATTAGAGAGTGCATTAAATTTTGAGCTTGGTAATCTTACCTTTGGTTAAAAAAAAAAAATCGTTTTACCGTTTGCACTGTGAATTTCTGTTTGATGCTGCTGCTGAAGGATATTCTTGATAGGGATGATGCCACCTACAGGAAGGACCAGGCAGAGTCCCCTGAAGCCTTTTGCCTCCTCTCAAGGGGAGAGGCTAAGCCGCCCCACCCTGCAGACCCACTGTTGAACAACCCCTTGACCCCTAAACTTGAGAGTGGAGCAACAGCCTTCTATCTACAGAACTAGCAATTCATGCACAGCATGTTCTTTACCGGAGATCATCTGGGGTGGGGGAAGGGACTGAAGGCTTTATTGCACAAGGGTGTAATTAACGGCCTGTTGGTGAGGAACAAACTGCACATCTCCCTAGTGCACCTTCTTTCCCAGAGAACTGATTACTTTATTTGTAGATCATCTTGCGACCTTCCTTAGGATATAAATATGCTGCAGGCCATATTAGAAATGAGCAGGAGAGAGAAGCAAATAAGAACAGATTAAGAGCAGGTGCTAGTTCTGTATGTCCATTAAGAAAAATACTTCCACAGGGTTGGGACTTTTAAGCAAAACTATATTGGAACCTGAGCATGTTATGAGACAATTTTGCATGATTAAAAAAAACAGGTCTTACTCAGAGCTCGTTCCTAGCCTTACTCCTCAAAGGCTCTTCCTCCTTGAAGGCACCTGTGGCTGTTAGGGAGAAGGCACAATCTTGCTACATTTGCTCTCCTGTAGTAAAAGAGGAATTCTGAGTGAAGATGGTGATGTGTAATGTTGCTTGTCCTTGAGCTCTGGGATCTGTTTTAATTTGTTTTTATTTTGAATAGTTCTAAGGTCAGTTGCAACATACTGGCAAAGTGGATCTGTTGTTTTGGTTTAATTATTTACTTGTGTTTTATCTTGTATTTTATTCTGTGAACTGCCCTGGGATCTCTTGATGAAGAGCTATATATGAATTTAATAAATAAGAATATATGTTTAGTTTTACATTTAGTTTAAGTGGTTTGGTTTCATTTGAATGACAGTAATGGCTGTATAGCACACAGAGTGGCCCTCTATACACTAGCTGGGAAAAAAATCAGGAAAAAATATTGAAATAAAATCGCTATAAATAGTAGTAGTGATTTGGAGGTTTAATTTGAAATCAAGCTGGATTTGAATTTGTTGGTGTTTCTGGTAACCTCCCTCTTACCTCATGGCTGTTGGTTCATATTATGGATGTATGATCTGTATTGCTTTATTGGTACTTTTGCTGCAGGTTTGTCATTGCCTTTGGCTAGAAGAATAAACTTATATTAAAAATGAATTGTAGTAGAGAAGGTTCTGAGGATGTCTGAAAAGCGACTACATGTTGCTTTATTAGACATTTCCAAATTAACTTACTTTATTAGGACTTCATTTTTTAAAAAAATACAATAATCTGGTATTTCCTCCCCCTGCTTCAGTCTGGTCCATGAGTTTATCTAATCATAAACATTCTCAGATAAAATATAACAGCTGTAAAACTGAATTAATATTGAAGCTAGCCATCCTGCTGTGAGCACTTCCTCCAGCACATAAAAGTACGTAACAGGTGTTAAATATCTGAGTACAAAGCTCATATTTCTCTGCCTGAATCCTTCCTGCAAAATAGCAGTTTAATTTGCAAATTTCATTCCAACAAAATACTTTCCTTCTTAATGATTCTCATTTCCAGCAAAATAAAATGTTGTGTAAGTGAATTTTCTTAGCAATTCATTAAACTTCAGGATATGTAGTAATTATGTTAGTTTAATTGACATTTGCACTATGCACAATGCAAGAAGCTCTAAATCAAGCAATACTTGATGTGGATTTTCTGTGTCTCTGAACAGTTCTTTACTAAACTTGAAAATGTCGCAAAAGGGAAATGAATCAGCATCTGGCTAAATCTAGAAACTGACCTTCAGTTTGAGTGTTCACACTCTTAACGTAATCAGGGACACTTAACAAATGGCCATTGCGTATTTGCATCAGACGTCTCTTCGCCTTCATACAAACAGCTCCATCAAATCTACTTATCTGTATGCAAATTTTCTTTTTATATGGAGGTGCATTCCATCTATGAGTGTCATACTGCAGTCTTGACACTAGTTTATCTCATCTGTTATTAGTGAGAAATAGGGCAGAATATCACTGTCCTGTGCTATAGCATAACCACATGAAATACTGAACTTTGATTACTGGAGGGATTGCTCAGTTGGTAGAGCATGAGACTCTTAATCTCAGGGTTGTGGGTTTGAGCCCCACATTGGGTTAAAGATTCCTGCACTGAAGGGGTTTGGGCTAGAACAGGGGTCAGCAATCTTTTTCAGCTGTGGGCCACTCCACCGTCCCTCAGACCATGTGGTGGGCCAGACTATATTTTGGGGGGAAATATGAATTCCTATGCCCCACAAATAATCCAGAGATGCATTTTAAATAAAAGCACACATTCTATTTATGTAAAAACACTAGGCAGGCCCCACAAATAACCCAGAGATGCATTTTGAATAAAAGGTCACATTCTACTCATGTAAAAACATGCTGATTCCCGGACCATCCGGCGATTGGGCGGCATCCGGGCCCCAGGCCTTAGGTTGCCTACCCCTGGACTAGAATGATCCTTGTGGTCCCTTCCAACTCTACAAGTCTGTGATTTCTTTCTTTCTTTCTTTCTTTCTTTCTTTCTTTCTTTCTTTCTTCCAGAGGAGGGTCAAACCACACTTCATGTGGGAATACTATAGCTATGATTCTTAACAGCTTTTTAATTTACAAATAGTAGCTGGAAAGACGTAGCCCTTATCCAAACTGGTGTGTCCCACATCAACTGCCCTTGGCTGATTTTTGTAATAGAAAAAGATACTGGGAGTTCCAGTTATAGAACACCCACATCACATGTGCTTTGACCCTAACTTGGGCAAGAATCCAAGGGGCTGGTTTAGATTGCCCAGTGGGATTTTAAAAAAACTTTTAAAAATTATAGTCTTTAAAGAACAGGCACCACTCTAACATATGGGGTCTATGTGTGAGTGTGTGCATGTGTGAGGAAGAGAGAGAGAGCTGTCCATTTAATAAATCAAATGTTGGTCAAGTATTTAAAAGAGTAATTTGTCCAGATTATAGAGAGCTCATAAACAAAAACATTAGCCCCACTGCCAAGATCCCAAAAAACAGTGCATCTCTCTTTCTGGATCCTTGCCCAAGTGTTCCTTTGCAGATACTGGTTCCAGCTGCATTTTCTCTGCATTCCAGTACATATTGTTACGTATTGTGAATTATTAAATAATGAGGGATCTCTGTCTTGCCACTGGTGCTTACATATTTCTCTGAGCTGCTCCAGTCATCGACCCTTTCCACTTTCTGCAGGAAGTGTTTTTGTGGCACACAGGCTCAGTGTGTGGAGTGGTGTAAAACACTTTAAAACCATGTTGGCAAATCAAATGGGTAAAATAAAAATTTATCTGAAAAGATATTTGTTGACTTAGTGTGATTTACTAACATTTTCCTTGCTGAACAGTTTTATACTACGTCTTGTAAAGAATTAATAGCTCTGACTTACTCCTGGGAAACATGAAAGCTCCTCGTTTATGGCCCAGCCCTGTGAAATACACTAGTCCATCCTTGTTCCAGTGAAGCATTTAAGCTTGTCAACCAAAGATAAAATTAAAATTTAAAACAGCTGAACATGATTATTAATCATTCAGCTCCAGGGAGTCATTAAAATTTCCCAACCTCTGAGTACAAATAATAGATTACATCTATAAATACATGAAGAATTTTCATACAGTTATTACTTCTTCCATTTTTCATTAAAGGGGTGGTGCCAGAAAAGGTGTAGTTAGTTTTAGAAATGTAGATATCTTAGTACAAAGTGTTCCTTCTTTTTCTTCTGAGTTCATCTGCCACTGCCACAGGAACAAAGATGGGGGGAAATGAGATTTCTCTTTTCAGTTCGGGAATATTTTTGTGTTTAAATTCTTCGATAAACTTTCAGGCTGCTTGAAAATTTCTTATGAATGTCTGCTGCATTACTTTCTTTGTACCTTATTTTGGAATTTGAGAAGTGAAGGAGCCTAGGCCAGGAAGCACACATACCATCAGCTCCTGAAAGAACCATCAAGGACCTGAAAGAGATGTTGAGGCAGTTCCTCTTCCACCATCCCTGGGGCTGCAACAGACCAGGGAGCACACGTACTAATGGGTCCCAGTTGGCCTGAGAAACCCCTGTCACTCTAAATTTGTCTTTGTGCGTGTTTCAAAATTCTATATCACATTGGGTGACTTGGCAGAAAGGCAGTGCATAATTCCATTAAATAAATAATTGCAGGACCAGATCTGTATGTAGCATAAGCTCTATTGAATTCATGCCTGAGTTCCCTGTTTGTCCCATTTTGCTTGGGAAGTGAAAGAGAAATGCAAAATAGGTGAGCCACTGTGTTTTTGAACAATGTTTTGTTGACGCTGGAGTGCACCAAGTTTTGAGCGACTCAGAACTTTCCACCAGTTGCCGTGGCTAAAAGTTGTTTTAAAAGTTGCCTCAAAAGCTAACAAGCCACATTCAGGGTTGCTGAAAATTAAAGATTGGTCTGGTCTGTACCATGGAAGGTGGCCTGCTAGTTATCCTGGTCCCAGGTTGTATGCAACTTTAAGATCTTTTCAGGAGACCCTGCTGTACCACAGGGATGTCCAACCGGTCAACCGCGATCGACAGGTCGATCCTCGGGTGATAGCAGGCTCATTTTCCTTTGCAGGGGGGAAAGAGCATCCGTGTGCATGCCATCCTGACCTGGCAAGCGTCTCTCATTGCTCGGCCACCAGCACTGGCGCCCTGCTACGCTGGTGTGTATGAAGCCCCTGCCAGCAGGCTGCGTCGACTTCACTCCAGCAGGAGGCTTCACGGATCCCTGGGCGTGCTGGTCTACCCATGTGATTGGGCGTTGGTAGACTGTTCCTGGTGCCTGTCCTCTTCCCCGTGACAGCTCTACCGAAGGCCTGCCTAAGTGCTGTATCGGAGGTGAGGTGAGAGCGGCGGTGTGTACAGTGGTACCTCTGGTTACGTACTTAATTCGTTCCGGATGTCCGTTCTTAACCTGAAACTGTTCTTAACCTGAAGCACCACTTTAGCTAATGGGGCTTCCTGCTGCCGCCGCGCCACCGGAGCACAATTTCTGTTCTCATCCTGAAGCAAAGTTTTTAACCTGAGGTACTGTTTCTGGGTTAGCAGAGTCTGTAACCTGAAGCGTATGTAACCCGAGGTACCAGTGTATATTCTTTTGTAAGTGATCTATGGTCCCCCCCCCAAAAGCAGAAGAACTGTGGCGCCCACCCCAAAAAAGCTCAACAATTTTGGCCTGTCCACCCCCTCCAAAAAAGCTCAAGAATTGTAGCCTGGCCCCCGAAAAGAAGCTCAACAGTTTTGCTCCCCTCCCCATGGGTAGATCACTGTCGGTTTTTTATTCCGGGAGTAGATCGCAGTCTCTTGGGAGTTGGACATCCCTGCTGTATCACTTGATGACAACACAGAAGCAGGCCTTTGTGTTGATACATTCAATCCTAGAACACCCTCTTTCAGGTAATTTGTGAGGCAGAGACAGTAATGACCATTAAATGATACTTTAAAACTTTTATGTATACCCAAGTTTTCCTGCACTCTTAGTTTTTAATTTCTTTGTTTTATATATGGCTCAGTTTTATTTGTAAGAATTGGCTGCATTTTGTTTTTATCTCATTTTTAGGAAATGTTATTTAAGATTGTGCTTTTATGTAAACTTCTTAGATATTTTTGTTAAGTGATAATTTTTTTATAAATAAAGCATCAGCAGCTGTCAGTACAAAAATATTATCATTTCTGTTCTGCATTCTTAAATAATGCATGCTGCTTATCACCAAATAAGTTGTTAAAATTTGTCCTAACTCTCAGGATACAGAGCAGGTTAAAAGTCTAAAGCCACAAACACACTTATATAGGGTAAGTTTTGTATTTCACTTGAATGCATTTCTGCAAAATTTGCCTTCATGAAGATGCAAGAACTGGGTGCTTTCTTTTTTTACCATTATAATCCCTAGTTTTCCCTTTGTCCATTATGGTGGAGGAAGGACTGACTAATAGAAGAATACACGGCCTAAAATTTTATTAGAAACATCTGTTCATTCATATTAGGCCGTGCCTGATTACCAGTAAGTCTTAATCAGGGTGATGTACCTTCTAACAGCTACCCAGTTTCAAATCTCTTAAAATAGACCAAGCATGAGAGTAAACAGCACAAGTTCCTTACGAAATGTGCCTGGTTGTAATCTGGTCTTTGGCATCCTAGCAACGCCCAAAGTCATCTGAAGAGTTTCAGATCTCCAGTTGCTTTATAGCTCCTCTGTTCTTTTTACTCATTTTTAACTTGAGTGGTGTTTTTTATGATACAGCAGAAACACTTCAGAAAGTTATCTTAATAATTTTGCTGTAATGTCATACTGATGGCGAGATGCTCATATTATAATGCTACATTAGATCTTGTAATGACAACATCAGACAGCGTCAGATTATTAACGTTCTTCTGCAGGTTTCTGTTGGATAGAATATCTTTCCTAGAGATTGTGTGTAGACAAGTTTGATACTACCTGGGTTAGTATCAAAAAGTATCTTAGGATTTGTTGGCTGCATTTGTAGGTAATGGTTTAGCAAGACATGAACAAGCCTAACCACCTTCCTGGCTAACACACATTCTCCTCATCCTACTGCATGGCTGGAAAGGAGTAGTTCAGAAGCTCTTCAGCCAAACTCCTTGTTCTGAAAGATTCTGGGAGGTGTTCCTGCGCTTACATTGCACAGGGTGCTGTTGTGTCTCACCATTGTGACCATGGACTGAAGGTGTGATTTTGAGCACCTAATACAGAGAGAGAGAGAGAGAGCGAGCACTTCATTGCGGTCCATAGACCCAAAATACACAGTACAACAATAGAATATATTAAAAGTTATTAAGGTGTAAGTTCGCTCTTGCTAGCCAACGGGGGAATGTTTAGCCAGTACATACTGTACAGTGGTACCGCCGGTTACGAACTTAATCCATTCTGGAGGTCCATTTGTAACCCGAAACTGCTCGTATCATGAGGCGCACTTTCACTAATGGCGCCTGCTGCGCTGCCGGTGTGTGACTTCCGCTCGCATCCTGGGGCAAAGTTCGCAACAAGGGGCATCTACTTCCAGGTTAGCAGAGCTCATAACCCAAAGTGTTTGCAAGGAGTACAGTACGTAACACGAGTTTCCACTGTACATATAAGCCAAATTTCTCCTGTTGTTTTTCCTCTTAAAACTCAAATGAGGCCAGGAAGAAGGGGGGAGGGTGGAATCCTCTCCAAATGAAAAATAAATAAAAAATGAAACCAACCAGAAAACCCTCTAATCCGTTGGAAACATCCAAAATAAGCTGTCAAGCTTAGCCAAGCTCAGATCTGCTCCCCACCAAGAATATTTTTAATGCATGTATCAGACAGTTTGTGACATTGTGGTATTGCGGGGGAAGAAGAAAATGAGACAGTATTATGCCTTTTTTTTTTTTTTTACATTCCCCTGAGGCTGGTAACATATCCATCGCCTGGTGGTTGTTTTAAAAAAATGTGTATAAATGAGAGGGATTAGCCACCCTGTTTGTAAATGATCCCGCATGCTTGAGCGATACTCGTGCCAGCAGTTGGGGCCCACTTTCCCCTCCGCAGCTACCCCCCAAGATGTTCGTTGTGGGAGGGAAATGAAAATAAGTTGCTTTTCCTCTTTCATGTTGCAGTGTTGCCTAATCAGTGCTGACCTCAACCCTGAAGCTGACCAGAATTAGGTGTAAGATAACATGGACATCTGGACAGAACTATTAGCACATCTGCATTGTCTCATAGTCAGCACAGAATAAAAATAAGTAGTCTGATAAGTATTTTAATGCTATGCAGATAATGGCTTTACTAATTCTGCACAGCCAGGCTGGGATAGCAGGCTTGTTGGTTTTTGAATGTCTGATGTAGATTTTTTTCAATTTCATTGTTCTGTATGGGACAATGACAATAAAGATTATCATATTGAATCGTATGTAGTGGGGACACAAATTAACACAGGACTGGTCCATGCAATGAGACCCTGGGGCACACCTCTCATATGGCAGCCTTTTCAGTCCTTTGCATGCCCCTGTTTGGACATGATGCTCAGTGCATAGGTGTCTGATGGAGCAGCTGGCTTTCTCCCAAACCCACATGTAGGTTTTACACAGTGTTTGCACAATAATGCCACACACATGGGCAGCCTATAAGCTAAATGACTTCCAGTTGAAGGAGGTGGGTGATAGGAGTCATACTGACATGGTAATGTAATCATTTCCCTGTTAAATTTCCTTGGTTTACTGTGTGCAGGTCTTTCTCTTACGATTGGACCTAGTAGCTACTGCTGTAGTTACTAATCACAGAAGGTAGAAGGTTTATATTCAGCATTCATCCTTTTTTTATGCCCTTTATGCCCTTCTTTTTGCAGTAACAACAAGAGTCTGAATCCCCATTCCCACCTTACCAGGAGCATATTTGCAGGGGGGTCAGAAGGAAGCAGAAAGCCTCCAGAATCTATTTGCAGTGTGAGGCACTTTGCTTAGACATGTCCATCATTGGTTGGATGTCAAGATTTGTATTGTATCGTTTGTATGTATTTTCATGGATCTGTTTATTCTTGGCAGCCTTCTTGGCTGAAAGGTGGCATAACTTAACAAGATTGGATACTCACTTTTTCTTCTGTTCTGAACAGAGGGTAGGAGCAAATCTTTTCACTCTGTGAGCAAGTGCAGAGATGGCTGATGTAAGTGCCTCTTTTCCCAGTGGAGGGGGGCACACCTGCACCACCTCGTAGTTCTGTCTTTTATTCTGCTCTTTTATATGTCACAGTCATTTTGTGTTATGCCACAGTCCCACAACAGCCATTTTGTGACCAACGCTGATGGCCCTTTTTCAAAATTTCAAATGCGCCCATGGGCCCAAAAAGGTTCCCTGTTAATCTTTGCTTTGAATTCCAAGCTCAATATTGAAATGAAGGGTTGCAGTGATTGACATTTGCAAGACTGCTCTGCTTGAAAATTTATTTTGGACACACCTGGAGGCTTACATATGTCCAATAAATTGTGGCAACTTATTGATTCAGTAGTAGAGCTGTTGTTGGAGCTGCTGTTGGAGAGAGAGAGTTTGTTGCGTATGGCACCTTACAGACCCCGATAAGCTTACAGTACAGTGGTACCACGGGTTAAGTACTTAATTCGTTCTGGCGGTCCGTTCTTAACCTGAAACTGTTCTTAACCTGAAGCACCACTTTAGCTAATGGGGCCTCCCACTGCCGCTGTGCCGCCGGAGCACGATTTGTGTTCTCATCCTGAAGCAAAGTTCTTAACCTGAAGCGCTATTTCTGGGTTAGCGGAGTCTGTAACCTGAAGCGTATGTAACCCAAGGTACCACTGTTTAACATTCTACACAAGGCAAAAGACAGAAAGGTGGAAGCTGGGGAAGTGTATGCATTTATTTCAGATACACATACTTTGGCTTAATTAGGATATAGTGTCTATGGGGCTGTGCCAAAGACTTTTCAAACTTTGAATTCAGTTAGTGTTCTGAAGCTATTTTTTGTGCTATATTATATATTTCTTTCCTCATTGTTCCCATTGTTATTTAAGATAGATATACATTGATTGTATTGTGTAAGTGCTCTGGCTGAAAATGCAGCCCAATCAACCCATTTTCTGATAATTTTAGGGACTTTTGAGTCTAGAAAAGGAAGCGGATATTTTTATATTTAGTTCTCACAAAGCCCTCCTGGCCAAATCTTGCGATTGTACTCAGTTCACTGAGCAATTTATTCACTAGGGTAGAACAAATTTAATTTGTGGTCTGTTTCAGTGTATCAGACTTGACAGCGTTTGAACTATATTAGCACTCTTGCAGAATTCCCTTTCCAATTTATTTTTGAGTTTAATATTACTATGTCAAGTGAAGAATCATACACTAGATCTTCCTTGCACCCATACCTCTACAAAATAGTGGTTGAGGCTGTAGGAACATTCAATTTTAAAGTTTCGCATCTTTAAGTTTTACATTTCACCATCCTCTCTCACACACCGATAATATAGACAAAAAAATCTATACTAGAATATTTTGTAATGAGAGTTCAACTTCAGTTCTTTTCTTCTCTCTATGAGCTTGTCCACATGGGAGTTTAATGTGCCTCAGCCTTTTTCCCCTGGTGCCAACATAATATTCCCCCCTCATGCAAGTGGCAGCCTGCACCTTTTCCCCAATTCAGATTTTGCCAATCAACAGATGGTCTGATGTGGGGAGAGAGGGATCCAATACGTGTTACCTGGATGTAGATGTGCTGAAGCACATTATAAGACCACATTTTGGTGGGTGATATATGTGGTGGTGTTTCATTGGGTGGTCTCTATCACCACACCCTCTGCTTCCATTTGCTTCTCACCTGAGCACATCCTAGACATTTTCATTTTGTCAACCAAAAGGAAAGGAAGCAGTGTTCCTACTTCCACTTACTGTTGGTGAAGCCACTTTCTCAGTAAATGCACACATATATTCATTTTTAATGCAGCTGTTTTGCACAAAACTGGCCTTTCAGGTCATAAACAAAAATCTATTTGTTATCCCATCCTGTTTTGGCTCTGTGTGTGTGTGTGTGTGAGAGAGAGAGAGAGAGAGAGAGAGAGAGAGAGAGAGTGTCATGCTTCTTATTTTATTTGTAATATATACCGAAGGTTTTGTGCAGATTTACAATGGCTGTTGAAGGCAACCTCCTCTAAGCCATCCCCTCTGCTTTCTGTGTGTGGGGAGGAAAGGGTCTAGAGCATGGGTAGGCAAACTAAGGCCCAGGGGCCGGATCCGGCCCAATCACCTTCTAAATCTGGCCCACAGATGGTCTGGGAATCAAAGCGTTTTTACATGAGTAGAATGTGTCGTTTTATTTAAAATGCATCTCTGGGCTATTTGTGGGGCATTATTTTCCCCCCCCAGAATATAGTCCGGCCCCCACAAGGTCTGAGGGACAGTGAACCGGCCCCCTGCTGAAAAAGTTTGCTGACCCCTGGTCTAGAGAGTGAAGGTACCTCCTTCCACCTGTGCACATGCCCTCAAAGGACCTCAGGTTTCTCTAACAGAGAAAGCAGTAATTGAGGGGGGGAGGACAAGGGTCTACCATCCTAATATAGCCCATCAAGCACTGCCCACTAGTGTGAATGGGAAATGTCAAGATAGATTTGGGAAGCTTAAGGCTGAAGGTGCTCATATGTGGGCAAAGTTAAACAAAAGTGCATACAGGAAAATCAGTTCTGTTCAATCCGTGTACATAGCACATGGTTAAACTGTGAAACTTACACAGGAGGCAGAGACGGCTTTAAAATAAGATCAGACAAATCAGTGGAGGAGAAGGCTCCATGATGGTTGTGCTCTGCCTCTGCAACTGCAGCAATGCTTCTGAAGAGCAGTTGTTGGAAACCACAGGAAGAGACAGTGCTCTTGTGCTGAAATCCTACTTGCGGTTTTCCTACAGGCACCTGGTTGGCTATTGTGAGAGCAGGATTCTGGACTTGATGGACCATTGCCTAATTCCAGCAGGCTCTTCTTAAATGCTAAAGCCTTAGCATGGATACAGCCTCAATTTCCAGCAACATGCATTAGCTTTTAGGCCATGTTTACTCTGTAACAATTGCACAGAAAGCAGCTTCATGTTGACACCTGAAACCCTTGAACTATTTCTGTATATTTAAAGTTTGCCAGTGAGATATTTTGGAAAGCATTTGCAGATATTGCAAATAGTTTAATATGTACAGTGTGTAAAATAAAACAGCTAAAAAGACCACATCTCTTTGGGGCAAAAAATAAATACATACACCTGGAAACACAAAGCGCCAATCAAACTGTGTTGCCAATTGAACTCCTTGAATTTCACACAGCTGGAAAGGGACTGAAACTTCTGAACTGTTTCTGCACTCAGGGACAGCACCAGAGGAGTTTTCCTCCCAACACTGTTGGTGAACCTGTGGCTACTTGAAGGAAAGGTACTTTTCACATGCTTCTATCCTCCCAATCTCTGTGTTCTCCAGTGGTTTTCCCCCTCCCTAGTGCAATCTCTGTTTGAACTAAGGTATGGTTTTGGAAGGTTTGAGGCTCTCATTTAAGGTTGCATGAGAAACAGAAGATCATTTTCTTTTTTTATATTATAATGTTGAATTACTTCAATTTATTTCTCTTCTTTCAGCTGGTCTGAAAATCCCAAAGAGTGGAAGTTTCAGAAGACAAGGCAAACTTGGCTTCTTTTACACATGTATGAAAAAGACAAGGTATGTTCTGGTGCCCCCCCTTTAAACAGTAGCAAAATGTGCATCTTTGTATAGTCACGGGGCTGAGCAAAAGTCTTGTTGCATGTTACATGATAAAACAAACTACCAGCACATAGTTAATCATTAATTTGTTAGATTATACTGCATATTCCTAACCCATGGCACGGCACCTCCTCCTGTGCAGATTGAGCAGAGTCACTTACAGCCTTTTACATCCTCTCCAAGGGGAGGAGGCATCCTGCGCTCCAGAGTGAGCCTAAGGTCAAAGGAATTTGGGTCTAAAAAGTTCTCTTTAGAGGCTTTCCTTTTGTGAAGTCTCCCACCCTCTGTTTTATCTGCAATCTACCCTTCATTCTGACACTTCATTTTGAACTTTTCCCACAGTCTGTGTTGTCACGTTTCCACTCCTTTTTATGTGTGTGGTTCTATGTCGTCTTTCCCCTAACCCCTCCCTGTTTCCAGTTTGGGCATGGGGTGAGCTGGCTACTGGTTTCTTAGAAGGCACCGCATGGGTATAGTTGGAAATTAAAAGCCTGGGATCTGTGCTATGCCTTTATATCCGACTTCCAAGAATTTCATCAACAGGAGAAGAAGGAGGGGGTTGGCTTAATGTGAACTCTCCTAGCCCTCTGTATTCAGTTCCTTTGAAGACTGTTGGTCCAGTGTGGCAGCAGTGGTGTTTTTAAGGAAATCGCCATTGTGTACTTTGTATTTTTATCCCACCCTTCCTCCAAGGAGTTTAAGCCATTGTTCCATTTTAAAAACAAGATGTGAGGCAGGGTATGCTGAGAGATTTGGACTGACCTCAGTCATGCAGTACATTTTATGGCTGTGTACTTGTATAAGGGTTTTTTTGTGTGTAGACAAGAGCAAATAAAAAATAAATCAGTTATCCAGCTAATACTTAGCTCACATATGACCACGTGGAAGGTTCTGAAAAATGTTTTCTTGGGGTGGTGGTTGCTCCTCATGAAGGTGATAATATTGAAAATCTTTGAATCAGTCCTGTTGCCTGCACAGTCGCCATGAAAAGTCTTCAGTAAAAAAGAAATTTTTTCCCCCAATGGGAGGGATGGTTTAACTTAAACACCATTCTGTCTGTGTTGCTGGTGTCTCAACCCAAAGTCATTGAGTAATGGATCCTTCACTTTCTCTTCCTTTTCATCGTAAAGGTCCCTGATGAATATTTTTCCATTTTGCTGCGGTACCTTGAAGGACTCCAGGGCAGTGCGCGAGACGTAACTGTGCAGAAAGCAGAATCTGTCATGAAGGAATATGACAATTCTGAAAGAGAAGATTCAAGCCAACTGGAGAAATGTGAGCGGATCCGAAAAGTTCTACAGTTGTTATCATGAAAACATCATCCTATCAAGCCTTCCCACACCCATATATCTGCATTTTATTACAGGACCAGAGCTGAATATAGTTCCTAGCCTTTAAACAGTCCTGTGAAATTCAAACTCTCTTTCAAAAGCAGTGTTTACCCCCATCTTTGTCCTCTCTCTTTTTAAGCAAATTGCTTCCAGTATTGCAAAGGTGATGAAAAATAATTGATCCATGTTAAAACAGCAGCAGCTACAAGACTTTGACTCCTACCGGTATTTTTCTGCTCTTCTTTTGGGAACTATTTCCTTTAGCTTTTTCCTATATAATTATTATTAAGGGTTTTGCATCTGTGGCAATTCCCTCCATAATAATGGTTTTAAACCCAACTGAAATGATTAACTTCCATTGAAGCAGCTGAAATCTTTAATTGCTTGAGGCGTCTTTAGTCTGTTAACTGCAGGTTTCATTACTCAACTTGTAGTCAAAGTTGAAGGTCTGGAAGCTGTTGGCTTATGTTGGTCTTCCTTTATTTTTCTTGAAAGTTTTGTTTCTTTTAATCAGCAACCACAAAATAGTGCTGAAATGCACACAACTGTAAGAACAACAATTATGAGAAGTTTACAGTAAAGTAGACAAAATATCATCACACTTGCAAAGTACATTTCAGCAAGGCTTACAAAGAACCATAAAGCACAAAAGTAATTGTACTGTATTGAAGAATGCTCCAAGCATTATTTTAAGCTGACAGCAGACAGGCTTCCAGATAAGGTCCTGTTTTGAAGATCTTCCTCAGATGATAGATATCACCTCAAAAACATTTCAAGGCCCTGATTGCAGTTTTCAACTGGGAGCTCCTCAGGAATTTTTCTCCAAGAAGTTACTCGATTCCCAGAGGATAATACCACTTCAAGGGTCCAAAATTCTGGCAGATTTTTATTTTCATTACCTACATGCTCATGTGAGATAACAAAATTATGGACTCTTTCATGTGTTATGATCAATAAAAGGATACATTGTTGCCATTTTGGTGCATACCTGGCCTTCATACTGTCCTTGTGTGATTGTTTTCCTGATGAGTAAATCTTGCGTTCAGTTCTTTTGTCTGGCAGTCCATCCTTATCATAAGAGAGAAGACTTCTGCAAATAGTCATGCAGGAATAGTGAATTCAGAGAGCTGGAATGACAAACATATCTATTACTAAAATGTCACAGGTGTTAACTGAACTGTTGTCTAACTTTGGTTACCAGATTTTCAAAACCTTTTACTGTTTTTAATTGTAGCGTTTGTCTAGGTTTTTGACAACCCATCACCAGCTTGACTTGCTAGAGTTCTTGGAAAAAGCATGGAAGATATTAGGAATTCTGAAAGTTGCTAACATATTGCATTCCCTTTAAGACAACTTCATCTGAGAGCCAAATACTTAAGTGAATCAATATGTGCTATGCTAATACAGTAACTATAATGGAATTTAATATACTGGAACAAGCCAAGGTATGTATGAATCAGAGAAAAAGAGAGAGACAGAAAGCAAAGCAGTGGGAGGCAGCAAAACCCATCACATACATTTTCTGGACTACCTGACTAACTTTTCTATTGTTCTCTCTCATTTCCTCCCTTCTTCTGGTGTCTTATATTCCTCAGTACAGTGGTACCTCCAGTTGTGGATGGGATCCATTCTGGAGATCTGGTCGGATCCCGAGGTTTTCACAACCTGAGGACCGCTTCTGCGCATGCGTGCGCGGTGAAACCCGGTCACATACTTCTGGTTTTGCCGCTTTCGCATCCTGAAGTTTACATAACCAGAGGGTTACGTAACCGGAGGTACTACTGTATATTGATTGCCAGTTCTTCAAAAGTTCATTTTTAAAAAGGAACTAGTTCTGAGTCAAGTTCATCCTCTCCAAAAAGGAACTAGTTCTGGTTCAAGCTCATCCTTTCACAAAAAGAACTGGTTCAAGGTCATCTAAACATTAGTTCATAAAAAGTTCATTCTTGGCAGAAAAAGAAAATCAGCATTCAGAATTCAGTTGCTGTGCTGAAGTATAGGATTCAGAAGCAAATCAGGGCCGCACACAAGTTATCAAATGTATGACAGACTGCTTTTCTCATAATTGTACTTACATACTAGAAAAAAGATTACCCTGCCTCTACACAGCTGTTAAAGGCACAAGGCGGCATCCGCTTTGTTCTTCAACCTGTACTGCTCACTGCAAGCTACTCTTGTTAGAAGCCAGAGAATCCTTTCAGCAGAGAAGATGCTGAAAACACCTCACATTGCTTCCTTCTGATTGCTTAGCTACAGTGATTAAGTGACTTAAGAGACCGTAGCAACAGCGGTTACTCCATATCTGCCTAATAAGCTTTAGAAAGTTGCCCAAAGTTTTGCTTTCTAACTTCCTTTATAGATATGCAACTGACTTTTTTAAAAATGAAAACTAATGGCTCAGACCAGCTGTGGTTGGATGGGCGAAGTGAATGTGAACTAGAAGAAAGTTCTGCCCCAAAATGAACTTAATTCACCTTTAGTTTAGGCAGCAGTTATGAGAATGATTTTCGGGTGGCATTCACAGATTTTTGAACTTGTTAAGTGAACTTTGTTCAACTGAACTAAATAATCCCAAGTACTGTTGATCACTTAAAGCAGAAAAATCAAAGAACACAAAAATAACAGGTGATTTGTGTCCTATGTGCAATGCAGATCTTTATTAAAAACAAAACTGAGGTTTGTGTGGCACCCACATCCCTCAGATGTGTTCACTACCTAAGTTTGGAGTTTATTTGTTGGTAAAGCTGCAAATATTACAACATACAGAGTCTTCCTTTGGAATTGGAAATGTACCTGTGAAGGGTTCATAGACCACCCAGGACGACCCAAGTGATTATAATGTTCTGCTGTGAGAAGACTTTTAATTGTCATTAATTCAGCCATCTTTCTGTACCACTGTATCACTTTATGGTTGGAATGTGGATGGCATCAATTCCTTAATAGCATGATTTCACTATGTCTGAAACCTTAGATTCAGTCATGCGGAGATCCAGGAACTCTTTTAAAAAAAAAATTTAAAAAAAATTATTAACCGACCAATCAAATCAAATCAAATCACATAAATTCCAAATTACAAAGCCGAATTTTAAATTTTTGTTGGGGGTACCCATATTTCAAGTTCCGAAGGGGATCCAATCATCTTATTGCTGCTGCTTTAATGTCCACAAATCTGTCCAAATAATGTTCACAATTCTATCCAATCCTTTTTTGTTGTTTTCCACATCTCTTCTTGTTATTTTCATATATATTTCCTTTCTCTTTGTGACCTCTGATAGTCTCCACAAGCGGGTTGAAACAAATTGTAATCCTGTGTGGGTTTTTCCATTCATCCAAGAGTCATATTCAGACGGCTACCGCATTTCATCGCTTCCATAAAGAAAAAACACTCTTACCGTCTACTCGTTAATCTTCACAGGTCTGTCACTCACTTTCTCAGTCCTCTGAGGAGGTTCTGCCAGGAATCCAATATGAAAACAAATCCATAGCTTCCTCCTCCCGCTCATCAATCTTTCGACAGAACCTGCCAACATGGCAACTCTCTTTTTATTGCTGCGTCATTCCAAAAGCCCTTGTTCTTTTCTAGATCACCATAAGCCAAACTTTTGGTTAGTAATTCATTTCCACACAGTTTTTAATCATCCTGCTTAGGTCAGTTATGTGACAGTTTTTTCTTGGGGACGGGTTATTGGTTAATCACATAGAAGAAAAGAAAAAAGTCCCCCCCCCATACAGTCCTGCTCCGACATTACCGAACCTTTGATGTATCTTCTTCCTGATATATTCCTGTTAAGTCCAACCCGTCGCTCTACTTTCACAGAGGTCTCTTCAATTAGCAGTCTTCACTCCCGTTCTTCACTTGAAATATGTGCATTTGCTTCTTTCTAATTGTTTATTTCGAGCTGCTGCAACCAGAGACAGCGTCCGGGAGAGCCGGACCCACACAAGGGCTTTGTGCCTAGTGCCCTCACCCCCTTCTTTCGAATCGGGGGTGATTTATGGCCACAGCAGGCAAGGCAGCGTTCCCCCTTTCCTTGGGGCAACAAGGGAGGCTGTATACTCCTATATCAGCCTCTTAATTACCTCGTGTGAGCCGGAGAGATGGTATTGTCGGCCATCTTCCAATGCGCCCCTAGCGGCGCCCAGAGTTATCTGGCCTGTTTGCCTGCACATTTATATCTTCCAGTTATTTCTTTTAACATGGTCTAGCGAGAACTGGGGGCAGGGTTCAGCAAAATTATGTGAGTCAAATCACCCTGTTGTGTTAATAATAAACCTAAAATCCAAGACAAAGAGTATATGCACAGAGCACAAAATTGAATGGTCATTTGCCAACTCTAATTGGCTCTCGGATGAGTTAATCATTGTGTATGTGTTTTCTGGGAGAATTCATATATGGTAGTAAGAGAATGCTGAAGTCAGGGATTGATGCCGTATAAAACCAAATCATTGCTGAGGACTGCTGAACCCAGTAGATCTGCCTCTAATTATGGTGCTAATTGCTAAAAGCATTGTCAATGTAGTGGTCTTCCCTTTAATTTGACTGGTCTTTGCCACACATTGTAAATTTCAGAGATCTATGATGTCTGTTCTCATTTTTAATTTGAAACCATTGCTTTATAAATAAAATTGTACTAGGGAAATAGATCCATCATCTTAAATTGGGAAAGATGTATTGCATATGTTGTGTATGTATTATTTAACCAGCACTTCAGAAGTCTGGCCCATTGCCATTAGTTGAACTGTAGAGAAAGGTGAAAGTAGATTGACCTCACACTTGGTCAGTCATACTTCAGTGTTTTATAAACTTAGCATAATAATCAAAAATGAGCAAGAAAATTAAAGAAAATCTCCTTATTGCCATAGTTGTTGCAAGAACACAGACCTCCCACATTCTCCTAACATACAAAGCTGAGATATTGTTTGAACGCCAGTTCTGATTTTTGAAGCATTTTAAAAACAAAACAAAGCACCCCACTATTGAATTTCCTTAGGACTTGTGTAAAGTGTATGCTATGGAGCTGCTCATTTTTTTACAAGGTTGATGATATCTTCTTTGGCGATCACTCATAACCAAGTAAGATTGTCTTCCATGAACATGGTTTTAACAGTAAGTCTGTAAATGTCTGTGGATGGTTTGCCAAATGTACCTTCCTCTTAGCATGTTTCTCCCTTTCATCCTGAGTTGGAGCATCTTCAAAGCCCACGACATCTTTGGTAAAGGCTGTCCTCCAATTGGAGCGCTCACAGGCCAGTGTTTCCCAGTTGATGGTGTTTATACTTTAGTTTTTAGATTTGCCTTGAGAGAGTCTTTAAATCTCCTTTGTTGACCACCAGCATTACGCTTTCCATTTTTAAGTTCAGAATAGTGTAATTGCTTTGGAAGACGATAACCAGGCATCTGCACAACATGACCAATCCAACAAAGTTGATGTTGAAGAATCATATGGTTAATTGTTAGAGTGAAATAATATGCATAAATCAGTCATTCTAATGTTTATCTCATCCAGTTGGCCACCGGTATGTGAAAGATATTATAGATCACTGCCAGGACCAGGCTAGAGCTATGCACAGCTGTACTCAATACAAATCTAAAAATGCATATTCTCCAGCACAATGTCCCTGAGGTCAGTCGTTTTGCGTCTGGGGCTGTAAGGCGGGTCTTGAAAGAGCAGCAAGGAAAAGTCCTGAGCTTTTGACCTGGCAATGGCAGAATGCCTGGTTTTGATGAGAGAAGACCAATACAGAGGATTTGTGCCGCCTGCACAGGTTTGAGTGCTGCCTATTGAAGTTCCCTTCTCTGCCTGTAAAGGGCTCTGAGGCTGGGGTTCACACAGTCCACCCAGGTGTCAACCACAGGCCAGACGCAAAGATCCTGAGAACCTAACAACAACATTTACAGGCATGGGCAGCCCTTGCATGATGCCAGTGGCGTAGCTAGAGGGGCACGGAGGGAGGTGGGTCCGCTCAGGGGGCACTTACCTTTTGGGGCAGCACATCGGGCACAGAGTGGAAGGTGGCACGCAAGCCCAGGCATCCCGAAATTCCCAGTGCGCCCGCTCACAAAAGCAGTGCAGGGCTGGGCTTGCAGCATGCCCGAACTGCTGCTCCCTCCCCTCCCTGCAGCTTCCTGGGCGCCTGTAGGCCCACCACTGACTGCAAAAGCA